TGTAATTTGCTAAGTCCCCCCTATTATTATGTTATCCTTCTTTTATTCTTTAAAATAAAAAAAAATACAAAAAGTATCAAGCAAAGAAAATTATAATACCATATAAAACAATGGTAAATGTTTGGAAAAAAAAAAAAAAAAGAGCTAGAGAACACCCTATTCTTGGTGAGAGCACTGGGAAGCTGATATTTTCACAGCTTGCTGGTGGGAAAACAAATGGACATACTCTCTTGGAATGGCAATCTTGTAAAAAGCTTTTAAAAATATACATACCCACAAATTTCAAAATTGTAATTTACTTTAAGGAAGCAGTAAGTCATATTCATAAAGATTATGCTATAAGGATAGTCACTGAAAACAGCCCCCAACATCAGAAAAAAATGGTTTAAGTAAAACTAAAACTGATAAAGTCATAGAAGAAACTGTAAATATAGGACAGGATTCCTCCTCAGAGGGCACTAGGCTTTGTTAGTGTTTGATTGAACTCTTAGGAACAGTCTGTTCTGTTTATATTTAAATTGTTCTAAAACATAGAAGAAAGAAATGTTCTCATTTTGTTCTATAGGGCTTATTATCTTGCAACCAACAAAGATTAGATACACTACAAAGTTAAAAGATAGCAAACTGCCTATCACAAAAGTAGTACTCAAGACAACGTGATTGCTGGGTGTGTTGGTGTGTGCCTATAATCTCAGCACTCTGGGAGGCTCAGGCAGAAGAGTTACAAGTCTGAGCCCAGCCTGGGCAATTTAGTGACTTACCAAAATCCTGTCTCAAGATAAAAATAAAAGCAAGGCTGGGGATATAGCTTAGAACAAAGGCCATGAGTTCAATCCCCAGTACTGCAAAAACAGCAACAAAAAAAGTAAAATGGAAAAATATTTGCAACACCTATGACTAACAGAGGATTGATACCCTTAATAGGATTTGCCAATGAAATTTACCAATAGGAAAGACAGTAAAGGACATTAAAAGGTGAATTCATAGTAGAAATACAAATAGGCATTAAATACATGAAAGATTTACTTCTAATAAAAATACACAGTAAAACAAGATACAACATTCCACCTGTGATGCCAATAAAGGTTAGAAAAAGTGATATATGTACAGAGAAATGAGCTTATTCACACAGTACTGGAAGTGTAAGTACCACATTCTAATTTGAGAATAATCTGGAAATACTGATAAAAAAAACTGGGGATGCATAGCGTTCCCATTATCCTACGATTCTAGTTGCAGCAACCTATCCTCTGAGAATGCTCAAACAAATTCACTAAAGTAATCACACAGTATAAGGATGTCCACAGAAGTTTGAAATAATAAAAAAGTAGAAATATAAATATGTAATGAGGCCCAGCTATGGTGGTGCATGCCTATAATCCCAGCATAAGAGAGGGTGTGGCAGGAGGACTGCTGTGAGTTCAAGGCCAATCTGGGCTACGTAAGTGAGTTCAAGGCCAGCCTATACTACATAGTGAGGTCCTGTTTCAAAAAACAAACAAACCAAAAGTACTGAAAGATAAATAATTAAATTATGGCACAGCCTCATTATTATGCAACAGCTCCAAAAAAATGCAGCTGGGCTATGGATCTGTGCTTGCCTACTGTGCATCAGGGCTTGGTTCAATCCCCAGCCCTGCCCCATCCTCAAATCTCACTCTTATGTAAAACAGATGTCCTTAATACTTTTCAGAGAAGCACTGAACATGAGCCCATTATTGTTTAAAAAGGTTATCAGCATATGTATATGTATGTATAAATGAGTATGTACATTTTATGCATATAAAAAATAATCTGGAAGGATCACACATTACAGTATTTATAGCTATTATCCCTAACTCAAAAGATAAGAGAAGGGACAAAGACAAATTTTTTATTTTATAATTTTTGGTATTATAAACACTTGTTTTAATGGGTACATACTACGGTAATTTTTAAAGGAAAATAAAAAGGTTTACTAAATAGCTAATGCTGGTTACTTCAGTCCAAGGGAGAAACTTGCTTGTGGAATTTACCTTTTCCAAGGACTCCTTCTCAGCTCGAAGATCTAACAGTTCTTCCTCCAGAGTTGTCACCTTGAGTTCCAGCTGTCTCCGGCCCTGCTTTTCATTTTTGAATTTGGACTGTGCTTGCTCAGAGGTTTCTTGAAGCTCTGGGAGAGAAGAGCAGAGAGACTCATTGCAGAACTAGAGCAGCAGGGGGTGATGTGGTGTCCCGCCTGTGTCAGTCTGCCCATCCGACCACACAAGGATCCAGCTCTCAATTTTTTCAGCCATCCCCTCCCAGACCCGCAACGTGTTCTAACAAGCAAAAAGCTGCTCTCCCACCAACCCATATTTACCACACAGAGAGTCATCTAATGTACGCATCACCTTCTACACATGCGAAATGAAAAGAAATATTCCAAGGAGTCAGAGATCACCTTCAAAACTGATGAGTCTTGCAGTTTCATTTCCTCTACCATCTTACCACACCAACCAGGGCTTAGCTTAGTATTAGTCCTGGTCCTCTCTCACTGCCTAGGAAAGACAGTCTCAATTTTCTTGGTAGCAAGTACATTCTGCCAAGAATTTGCTTTTAGAACATTCCTTCTCAAAGAGAGCATTTGGGGAATTTTTTTTTAAAAAAGTTTAGTGCACCAAAATTTGTTTGAAGAGTTTGAGTCTCTCATGGCTCTAGAGGTGACTGTCACAGGGCACTACAAAAGCAGAAATGAGATAGCTGTATGATATTCAAGTCTAGGACTGTCCAACACATATTTGCCTCACGTGGACTTGAGATGCATCTTCAAGATATCATTTCACCCAATGTCACCAGTGTTTTTAGTTTTCCTAAACAGAAAATTGTGCTCCTACTCAACTCTGCTATGGCTCTGGTCCCACCTGTGCCTTCTGCATTGGTTTTAATATAGCAAGGTAGATGAGTCAGATTGCTAATCTTCACAGATCTTCTATTTGATCACCTTTTTTTTTGAGACAGGATCTTGCTAGGCAATTCAGGCTGTTTTTGAACTCCCTATATAGCTCAGGCTGGCCTCGAACTCTCAATGATCCTCCTGCCTCAGCCTCCTGAAGGCTGGGATTACAGGCAATGTGCCACCATGCCCAGTAATCACCTTGTCTTCAGCACCATTTTTATGTTGGGCACTGAACTAGCATCCACGGAGGAAAGGAATTTACACAAATGAATAAAAACATCGCCCTTGCCCTCCAGGAGCTTGAATTCTGGAGGGGAGAACAGACACATAAATGGTGCTTATCAAAGGCTATCTCTGATAATGGTCATAATAATTCACTAAGCTAAAAGAATTGTAAAGGAGGGATCAAATACTCTAGGAAAAACTGAGAAATCTTTTGAAAGGAACAGAATGTAGAGAAGACTGGAGGCAAATATTGCTCTGCACAGCAAGCCTGGAGGTTATAGATAAAAAGCAAGAATAGGATGAGCAAAAGCATAGCCAGAAAGGCTTATGGTAGAGCTAGGATGAACTAGGCAATATAACAGGAGACGAGCCAGGTGGAAGGCCTGAATGCCAGGCTAAAAAGCTGCAATCTATTTTTTAAGAAGGAGGAAAATACAACAGGAAGCACCTCTTCCTCAAAAATCCACTAAGTCAAGAGTTAGATGAACATATTAACTCTTCCAGAGATATGAGTCGTAAGTATCAAAGATGTTCACATAAGACTTCCTCAATAAAAGAGGAAAAGTGGCAACTGATCAACTCTAAATGAATATAGTCAATCCTTTCATTGCCCTCTATGTAAAACAATCATATAGGTTTTCCATTGGTCCACCTTGATTGTTGGCTCAGTCCTTCACAAACTTCAAAAGCATTACATTAAAGGGGTTGAGAGGAAGGAGAGTTAAATGCCTTATGCTGAAATGAAATGATGCCATCTTCCCCACCGTGGACATACCTGAGAGCTCTGCCTGCAGTTTGACGAGCTGGCCCCTGAGAAGATCTGTCTCCTTCAGGCTTTCTGTAAGCTGCATCTGCAGCTCTGTTTCCTTCTTCTGGTGAGCAGTCATTTTCAGCTGTAGGTGAGAGACCTGTGCAGTGGCTGCTGCTAGCTCTTCTGTCACCTTCGCCTGAACAATAACAAAGGATGATATCACTGGTGCTCTCTGTCTCTAAGTGGTGACCTAATCTCACAGGACCCTAGGCTGACTGAACTGATAGACGGGAAGGAAGCTAAGGCTACCCTTAAAATTATGCAAAGTCGCTGACCCCATTCTCATGCAGAAAATTTGTCCTTAGGAAATATTAAAAAAGATTATAAAAATTTTGCTGCAAGGATATTCAATATTGCATCATTTGAAGTTGTAAAAAACAAAAAAGGAAAACTACCATAAAATGCTAAAAAAAATATGATACATCCATCCTGTATGCAGCTATTAAAAATGGTGCTTAAGGCCAGAATGGCAGCACATCTCTGTAATCTCAGCACTCAGGAGCTTGAGGCAAGAGCATCGCCACAAGTTCGAGGCCAGTCTGGGCTACCCAGTGAGTTCAAGACCAGCCTGAACTACAGAGTGAAATCTGGTTTCAAAAAAAAAGTTTAAAAAAATACTTAATGGAATGGAATACAGCCACAACCTATTGTTTTTTGTAACTGCTTCTATCATTTTGTACACTGTCAGTTTCCTTCCATGAGCCATTCTTAACTTCTATCAGTTTCATGAATGCTTGTCAAAAATCTGAATTTCGACCAATCTGATAGATGAGAAACAGTATTCATTTTCCAACTTTTTATGAATATATATTTTCATAATAAGAAAATGGTATTTTGAAATTTAAACTGAATCCCTGCAAAAGCAATTAATTTCTAAGTTTCCAGTTCTTCTTATAACTACAAAGTTCACTTTTCTTGACCGCTTCAAGTATTTTAAATGGTGTTCTGTATTAGCCAAACATGGGCCAGGTTTACTTTAAAGACTCTAAATGTTCTGAAGAAACATCTGATGAGACAGAAATAGCTACCCTGGAAAAATGCTCTAATGATATTTTGAATATTATGGACAATATGATAATGGTGACAGAGAGGACGATCGATAAAAAAGAACAGTGAACAGATGACAAATCTCATATCCATTTCACCTGAACTGATGCACTCCCATATAAGAGAGGTCAGAGGGCATAAAGGCAGCGAGTGTTGCTCTGTGGACAACTATTCTTGATCTTCAGGCATCTAAGTATTACTGGAATTGGGCTCTTTACATTACCACCACTGTTACTATTACTCTACTCTTATACTTTACACACATTTTTGCAGCTGCCCACTTGTTTTACTATTATTTGTGCCTTCTTACAGTATGCATCGTGCCCACCTATCTTAAACACATTTATTCCTTGCCTTATCCAAAGCCTTCATCAGTTTTCCAGCTTCCATTTAAAGTCTGATAGTTTAACTCTACTAAAGAAGGGAGGAATAAACTAAAATTGTATTTGAAATAAAAATAAACACGCTATAATGAAGTTTCTTTCAGTATGTCTGACTGGCCTTTAGAATAAGCTCTAAGATACTTATTTTTGCTGTCTGGCAGCCTGAGGTTTTTACCTGCTAACATACAGATGATAATGGCATCTAGAGCTTTCAGATGTTTTTCATCTGCCCCAGAGAGAAGTTTGATTCAATGTCCTGCTCCAAATGGCCAGTGAAAAGTGAACTACCACAGAGCTAGAGAGACTTGCATCTATTTTTAGTTCAGAGAGTTCACTAATATCAGAGCAATTGTCAATCTCACAAGAACTTGCAGGACCTAAGACCCCTGGAAGAGGCAATGGAATGATGGTCACTCTCTTGTCAAAGGACAGCAGAGTGGACAGTTACCCAGAAGCTCTTATCTCAAGTCCTCAGCTAGCAAGGCGTACTAGAAGCATAAAAATTCAAATACTTGCCCAAACACACATATACATACACAAGAGAACAGTAACATGTTACAGTAACAATTATTATCTATGAGTAGAAAGATTATAGGTGATTTATATTTTAGTTTTGCTTATTTGTATTTTCTAAATTTTCTAGAATAGATGCAACTTTTATAATTAGAAAAAAGTATGTGTGTATATGTATGTATGTTTATATGCAAGTATTTATATACATGAATACAATTTTGTAAAAAGGCAATTATCATGTGAGAAAGGAAAACAGCAGAAACCTACACAGTGGGTAGAATGGCGGGGGCTCCCTGATTCCCACCCTGGGCCAAACTCTCCCGTTGATGTGGAAAGCTGGGAAAAGAAAGTAATGACAGGAAAAACTCAGAATTCAGAAAAACAAGGGAAAAAACATTAAGTTAGAAAGGGAAAATAGTATCAGAAAGAGAGCTAGCAATTGGACAGGGAAAAAGAATACTGCTGACTGAAAGTGCGATCATGGGCAACTCTTTTGCCCTCTCGGAGCTTCAGCTTGTCCCTCTGTAAAATAAGAAGATTAAACTAGATGATTTCTAATAGTTCTTCTAGCTTTAATCATTATTCCATTGTTTTATGTGAAAACGTTAACACTATCATCGAAAAAATAATTCAATTTACCAAACATTCATTGACCACTTAACCACATCATTCTGAGCTGTGAAGGCAAGGAAGGACCTTGCTTATCTCCTGTGAAGAGGAGAGATCACAGAGAGAGTAACAGTAAGAAGTCAACCAAAAGAAAAAAGGAAACAACCAGAAGGGAAGAATCAATGAAATAATGGCAGCCAAGCAAAACATGTGGTACCTGGTACCCACATCATAAAAATCCTGGTACTCAGTGTAAGATCCATATAAAGCAGATCCATATAAAGAATGGGATCTAGAATTTAGAAGATGTTTGCTAAGTGTTAGCTGTGATTACTGTTGTAATTATTACGACTACTACTGTTTTTGCTGCTATCAATAGAGTTATCTATTTGGTTTAGACATCTTTGGGATTTAGCAACCTAAAAACATTTGGGTGGATTGATGAGCTAATTCAGGGGTTGGCAAAGTATGGACCATAGGCCAAAGTGGCATACTGCCTACTTCTGTAAATAAAGCTTTATTGAGCCAAGCATGGTGGTACATGCCCAGTCAGGAGGCTGAGCCAAGAGGACTGCCAACAGTTCACAGCCAGCCTGGGCTACATAGCGAGTTCAAGGCTGGCTTAAACTACATAGGGAAATCCTGTCTCAAAACAAAAACAAAAACGAAACACACACACACACATACTTTATTGTAACATATACATCCACACACTCCAGTGATATTCAACATGCATCACATGCTAAACTTATTAAAAACAAAGGTATCCAGAAGCTCGGTGTAGCAGCATGTGTCTATTGTGGGGCTACTTGGGTGGCTGAGGAGGGAGGGACACTGGAGCCCACAAGTTTGACACCAACATGGGCCACACAGATAGGCCGATATCTCTGAAAACATCAGAAAGGTGCTGGCTGCCATGTCTAGAGACTGTGCCAAAATCAGTGAATGTACCTGAGTAAAGTTTTATCTTGGTTAGATAGATATACTTAATTACAATCTCTGGAGATGATAATTTTAACCAAGCTCCCCAAGTGATTGATTCTGAGGCAGCCAGCAGTGTTTGAGGACCACTGACATAGAACAAGGATAATAATCATTAATTTCTGGAAAACAAAGGTGAAAACAAACACTATATATATTTGGATGCCCCTTGTAGGACTAAGAGGAGAGGGAGGAAAAACAAAAAGAAGTAAAGACCAAGAATAAAAAATTAAAGCAGAAAAAGGAGAAAGAGTAAAAAATACATTTTGTGGGGAGTGGTGAAGTGATTCTGTACTTGGTATCAAAGTCACAGGCATCAGATCTTGATCTAGGCATTAGCAGTTGGCCACAACAAACAAGAATGGGCTTAAAGCAGCAGTGGGAAAAAAGCAGCATCAGAATTGGACAGGGCTGAGCAGGGCGAGGCACTGCTTTTCTGAGAATAAGGAGTCAAAGACATGACTTGCCTCTATACTATAGCCAAGCAAACACAAGAGATGAGCACAAGACCTAAGTAAGGAACCCTTATCATTACCAGAATATGAGAAAGTAAATGAGCTCCACTAGTTTTTGTTTTGTTTTGTTTTTCTCCGGTACCGGGAACCGAACTCACGACCTTGCGCTTGCCAGGCAGGCGCTTTGCCGCTGAGCTAAATCCCCAGCCCCCAAAGAGACATTTCTTGAGGTTTAAGGGTGTGTTGCAAAGTATCTTCTGGTGTTTGTTTGTTTGTTTTTTTTGTATGAGGAATTGAACTCAGGCCCTTGTGCTTACCAGGCAGGTGCATATGCCATTGGAGCTCCACTAGTTATGAGGTGCATTCCATTCAACTTTTTGTATTTTCAAGGAAAACACAAATATAAACTATTTCTTTCTTTTCTTTTTTTGTACCAGGAATTGAACTCAGGACCTTGTGCTTACCAGGCAGGCACTTGTGCTGCTGAGCTATATCCCTGGCACTTACACTATTTCTTAAAACTCCTGAGTAGATAAAGAGTCAAGATCCCCCAGCTGAGGAAAGCTGGCCCAAACAAGAAGGAATCTACTCTGGATAAAAGTGTCACTGGAGGAGGACTAGGCCCCCAAATAAGTCAGTCCCACCCCAACACCCACCAGCATCTTCCTTACTACAATTCCAGCAATTATTAAAATTCCTCATTCTGGAAGGACAGAAGTCACGTAGAACTTTAAAATGCTCTGACACATCCAGATAAAGGAACAAACTAGGCATAATAAGGGACAACTAGACAATTCTAAAGTCCAATAAAAACAATCTACATGCTTGTTATCTGACAAAATAAATTATGGATTTTGTCAGCAGAATCAACAGTTTCGAATTTCTACTGGTGAAATTACACGCTTGTGTAATTCTTACCTTAGTCAAATTACTAAGACCAGTGATTGTTTTTGAGGCAACTTATTGCAGAGCATATTATAAAACAGAGATGTGGATGATGAGCACATGGAATCTGCTGGAATCTCTAGTTCTCTTCTCAAAAATGGCAAGAGCTCTGCTGAAAGGCCAGCTGTTAAGTACATACAAAGGAACACTCCTCAGTTCAACATATCCTGACCTGGGCTTTTCCCTGCACAGTTACTTTACCTTCTCTTGTTCAGCATGCAATACTCTTGCCTGTGTGTTTTCTGTGGCTGTCTGAAGTGAGTTGTTCCTCTTCTCCATCATCAGGTTACTCTGCTCAACATACCTGTGAAAGAAATAAGCCAAAAGAAAGCATTTATCAAGCACTGAATGTAGGTAGGCACACCCCAATGCACATTCAGTTCTTATAACACTGTTCTACACCTTTATCAAAGCAATCCGAAGCATTTTGTTTTCCTTAGATCTGTAGTAGTCACATATGGAGGTAGCAACCGAGATCAGAGGTGAATTGCTCTGCATAATGAAGAGGAGAAAACTCTGAAGGGTGTGTGGTAAAGGGGGAACGAGGAGGGAAAGGCAGGAAGAAGACAGCCGCAAGAACCAGGAGAGAAGAACGGACACTGTTCAGTCTCTGCCATATGGAGACAGAAGGCACTCTCTCCTATACAGAAATGGGAAAAATTTTAAAAGTGAAGTGTGCTGTAGCACGCTCTCCTGACCCCAAAATCTTTAGAATGATTCACAACAATCATAAAATGCTTGGATTTTATACAAGAAATCAGTGAAGCTATTGTTGAGTTCTGGTTAATAAAATAAAGAATCAGCCCATACAGAAGACAGAAGAGTACTGACACTATTTTCAGAGATGAGGAAACTGGAGGAATAATTGAAATGATAGAAGCCCACAATAAATGAGGGGCAGAACCAGGAGTCAAGTCACAGCTCTCTGAGCTCTTTCTACTGAAAAAGAAAATAAGTGATAATTTATAACAGGCAAGAAACCAAGAGAGCAAAATCAGAGTTTGTGCCAGGCATAGTGACACACGCCCAAAATCCCACTTCTCTTGTGAGGCTGAAGCAGGAGGTTCCAAATTTGAGTTCAGCCTGGAAAATTTAGTGACTTAGTTAGACTCTGTCTCAAAATAAAGAATAAAAAGAGCTGGGAATGTAACTCAGTGAAAGACTCTGGGTTCAATCCCCAGGACTGTTCAACAAAAACAAAACAAAATAATTAGGACTGGAGATATAGCTCAATGGCAGAACATGTAATAGCTCTAGATTTGATCCCCATTAACACACACGTGCGAGCGCACACGCGCACACACACACACACACACCACACACCAGTAGAAATATTTATATGCTGCCCTACACAAACGTGTATTAAATTGGGTATTTACACATAAAATCCTTTCATCCATCCTAGCCAGGCCCCGTACCTGTCATTACCTCTGATTCCGTTCAATTAGTTCACTGATCTTATCATTCTGTTCTTCTATCCGACTACTCTTCTCAAGGAGCTCTTGCTTCAATCTTTCATTTTCCTAAATTCAAATTATAGGACATACAAGGTAAGTACCTTAAAAGTGCCAGATAAAAGGGAATCAACTTGTGACACTGCTAACATATTTTGAAATGAAAAATTAGATCTTATGTCCACAGAGATAGAATAGCTAAAATAAGACATCAAAATAAACCCAATGGATACAAATTACTCTAATGATTGAGTGTATAAGTGGCTAATAAATGAAAAAAAGCTCTGAAATAGGGTAAAAATGTTTCAATGTTTCCTTCTGACTATACAGATAAGCCACTTGGACTAAATTAAGCCACAATGGATTCTCCAGGATTCTGTAACCAGTGTAGCATTTATCACATGCTCTGTTTCTGGGGTGGAAGTTTAAAGGGTAGCCTATCTACGGACAGAGTGAGGCCAAACACTGTGTTCCTACTCAGACTCACCTGAATGATTCGCTGGATGTTGCTCATAATCAGGCTCGTTTCCATTGTAACTGACATGCTAGGAATAAGCATGGAATTGCCAGCACTGTGCTTCTGTAACTCTTCAAACTACAAAAAGGATGCGAGAAAGACCTTGTGAGAAAGCTTAAAATAGAGAAATGGGATTTACCCAAGATCCTATGACTGTTTTGAAGGACTAAGCTTCTAAGGCAATTGCTAAATGTAGCTAGAGTTTTTTCCTGCTAAATGGATCCCAAAATGCTAACAACTGGACTCCTACAGAAATAACTACGACCATGAATGCAGGAAACCAAACCAAAGTTTACCTATAGCTCTGGCTGCTCCTTGTTTACAGCCAATTATACCCGTCTTTCAACATCGCCCCAACCTTGACTCAGTCACCTTAGTCATGAGATGATCCATTTTATCAGCCACTTTGCTGACTGCCATTCGAATTTCAGTGTTATGCTGCCGGGCTTCAGTCATGAGAAATGAAGCCATGTCACCTGATCCTAAACAAACATAAGCCAGAAAGAAACTTATACAACAAGAGCAGAGCAAACTGTAGGAAGAAATATCAATAGCTGTTCTAGCAGGAGGAGGAAAGAAATGTTCTAGGAAATACCACAGGTGATTTTACACTGTCAGGAGAAATGTAAAAGAGATAATAAAGGGAAAGGGCTTCAAACTAACAATAACTAAGCTGTGTTCCAGAAAAATGCATTGAGGGCTATAGTCTGGTCCAAAGGCACTAGTACACTCACTTCCAGACCGCTAAAGCCTGGCAGCTCACTCTGCTTCCTCATTCATCCAACTGCATGCCAGCCATTGTACAGCAATGAGTGAATGAATATGGTTCCTGGCCTTGGTGGGCTCTCAGTGGGATGGAGAAGCTGATATGTAAACTCAACAAAGTACTTTAAGTGCAAAAAATGGACAATGTACAAGGTACGAAAGTAGCACCTTGACAAGGTGAAACTCATTCACCACTGTGTCCCTGGGATGGAGGGATGATGTCAGTCAGACAAGGCTTCCCAGACTGTTTTGATGGATGCAGAAGGGTTTCCCACATGGAGAAGGGAGAGGGCTCCCGAGCAAAGGCTGCATCCAGAGAGCAATTACCATTCTGGAACTACAAGTTATGTTGTTAGATATACTTGCTTCCTCCTGCCACTATTCAAACAGTAAGGGGATTGCTAAGCAAGAGACAAACTGCAGAACAAAACACTATCATCACAGCTGTTTACATTTCATTTTGTTTGTTTATTCCCACATGACACTCACCTTGTATATGCACACAAAACAGCAGAAAGGGCACCAAAGATGTTAACAGTGGTTTCCGATTATCGGGGGCTTAATGATTTGGAAAGACAGTAACTTTTCACTTTATATTCCTTTGAATTATCTGACATCTTAGTATTTTTGTGATAATGAAGTTTTAACAAAGTAGTTTTCACTGAGATACTCAACACTCACAAGCAGGCTTCATGCTTTCTCTCTTTCTATAAATTATAGCCACTCTGACAGAGGCATTAATAGGGATGGTAAGAAAATGCAAGGAAAAAAGGACAGAAAATGGGCACAAAGAAACTTCTGAAGATAATGGAAATGTTCTAAGAATGGGCTGTGGTGATGAGTACACAATTCTGTAAATTTCCTTAAAAACCTTTCATTTGTATACTTAAAATGACTGAATTGTATGGCATATAACTGTGCCTCAACAAGCTTGTTCCAAAAAGAAAAGGTAGAGCGCTATCAGAGCACACAGGAATACAGAAATGCAGGAAGCACAGTACGGTGAGGGTGGAAGATAAGAGGAGAGAGAATCACTCCATACCTTGAAAATGGGGAGGCTGGGACAGCGGTGCTGGGTACAAGGGCCGAACAGGCTGCAGCTGAGAGGTGACTGAGGACACCTGGGGATATGTGTAGGCTTGCACACCTGCATAGGGCTGAGGAAGGGCCAAGTTACTGGTACTTTACATAACATTCTTCTCTTTCTTTTTTGCTTATGGTTTCCTATGGTAGGATAAAGTGGGTAACTGTAAGGACACTCAAACTCACTAAAGTTGGAGAAGGACAAGATCAGGGTTGGGCAGTAGGTAACAAGTGCACTAGTTATTTGTGGAACCCAGGGGTTACCACCCAGGAAGTCCTACCCAGAAATTGAGGGATGATGTCATGGCTCACTACTCAGTCCTCTGGTGATATCATTAATGAAGTAGGATTCAGTCCCCACCATCAGGCCTATGGTTTTAAGAATTTTTAAACTAAGAAAACTCTCCTTAGTTTCCATTGAGGCAAAAAGGAGAAATGTTCACTGAGACTGCAAGACAAATCATCCAGATTCCAAAGGGTGCCTCTCCCCTCCTAGATTGGGATGCCTATCTCTGTGACCAAGAGCTCTTGTTTCTCTCTGAACCCATCACCTCAATTATAAAATGAAGATAACAATATCACTCTGTAGGGTTACACTGACTAAATGAAGTGACATAGGTAAAGTTTTTAACAACTGGTAAACTGACTGCCTGGAAGACAGTAAATAATAAATAACTGCTATCATTTTAATGAGGGCAGTTATTCTTCCTTGAAATAAGGAAATCCAACTCATTTCCAGGGACAGATACAACTAATGATCTATTATTTAAAAAACAACAAAATCTATAATATTTGAGGGAGGAGTAGGACTTCTCAGTTTTGATGCTCCCCAACCTAACAGAGTACAGTCTATCCACCATGACTCCCACCCTTTTATCTAGAATCACCAAGCAAGTCCCTGATGTCATTGAGTGTACATCTTACCCATCAAGTGTGCTTGGGCAGAAGAAAGAATCCACTGCCCTGGCAAACAGCAGAGGCAGATAGGCTACTGCCACTGTCTTCTGCGGCAACAGAAAAACAAACAAACACAAAAACCCCAAAATTCTACTTCAAGAGATTATTCTGGATCACAGTGGAGTCTATACTTTCTACACAGCCTCCAACCTCAACGCAAAGCCATTCTGTTGAGAACAGTGCACATTGTTATGTATCAACTGTTTGAAAAGAACACAAAGACGTGAATGTATACGCCTCAACTAGATACGTGTGAAAAGGAGAGGAAATACACTGACTGGACCTTTACTAGGTGCCAGGCCCAGGCCTTGTACTAGGGCCTTTAGTGTTCCTGCATTTAATTTTCACATCTTATAAAGCAAGAAATTCTTTGCCTGGGTTAGAAATAATCAAGTTGTGATTCAAGAAAGGAAGAAAAAATTACAAACTTTAGGGGACAGCTACTATGTGAAGAGAAAAGGAGGAAACAATCTTCTTCCTACAGGAGCACAGGAAGAAGAAAAGAGACTGACTAGAACCATAATAGACTATAACTTATAACTCCTATGGTTTTAGATGTTACCTGAAAGGATGGGGTATTTCCAGATACAGCTGAGTGGGAATCAAGAGATGCAACTTGCACTAAGGCAGCAGAGGGTGCTTGGAGCCCAGAAACAGATGGCTGAGGTGCTAAGATAAAGCAAGACATTTTCACTGTTATCCATCCTTGCTTCTTGGTATGAGTCTGGAGTAGCACCTTCCACACCCCCATGCTTCAGACCCACTTTCCTTAACCCATCTCCTGAACAACACCACTGGTGTCCCAGGAGTGGGCCAGTGGAAGGAAACTGGGTGTTTTCATGTATCTGACTCAAGTCTACAATCCTATCAGCTGACAGGAAGTGCAGAATAACAAACAGGGAGATGTCTCAATTAGCTGAGTGCACATTTCCAGAACTGGCAATGTGACACAGTGGGAAGTCACAATAAACAGGCCAAATGTGTCTCTAGGTAGGAAAACGCCCTACACGGGCAAATTGCTGAGTTTTATACATTTACCTAGCCCTTAGTACTAAAATAACAGAGCTTAACAGTATAAGGAACAGTGATGATAATTTTGGTTCTGACACAACTCAAACGCACAGAGCCTTAAGATGTTCCCTTCTTACCTTGTGAGGTCATCTGCGGCAACACTGGATGGGTGGCTGGTTGAAGAGAGGGCTGGATGGGTGGCGTCACCAGGGGCTGCCCAGGTCCTCGAAGAGCATTCATATCCTGAAATACCCACAAGGCTTTAGTTACATGTATGAGTCCTTAGCTGAAAGCTAAAGCTGACCGTCTACTCTTAGCCTGCTTCCAATACAAGGTTTTCAGGAAAGGAGGAAGGAAAAGCTTTCTGTTTAGAAAGCTAAGATTTGAGGGTGTGAGTTGTGGGGAAGAACTACTCAATTATGCAAGAGTAAAAGTCCTTTTGCATGGAAATTATAAATAATTAAATATAGTTAATTTCCACAAATGTTCCCATATTTTCTTGTCTGAAACAGCCAAGTGAATAGTTCTCTGGAATTTCCCAAGCCAGCAGCTACTGTAAGACTGATCTAACCAACAAAGGAAGGGCTCTCTCAAGGAGTCCCAGGAATGACTGAACCTTTCCTCTTCCTCCAAATAAGCGCCACAGGCCTCAAACTAACAAGTGAAAATCAGATACAGTTGGTTTCATAGCACCTCATTAACATGCTGGTTTTGGATAATACACTTTTAGAGTGTTTCCTATTCTTTCATTTCATAAAATCCAAACTTGTCTTAAAATCAAAGCTAAATAGAGTTATCTGTATCTTCCTGCTTTATAAAAGGAACAGATCATCTTGCGGCACAATATACAGTGACTATAATCTCCTGTGCTATAGTTCAAGGGCTGAAATTTCTTCCTCATTCTTTTACTTCAGAACTGCCTCTCATCTCAGATATTTTCTGGAAAAGCACCCCAGTTTTAGATCATTATAGCTCAACATCAACCTAAATGTTTAACAGAAGAGTAAAAGGAGCTCTGATAAATCAACATGGAACACTGAGTTACTTTTAAAAAGAATAATATTTTGCTTAATTATCTGTCTTATTGATATTAACATAAATGTTTGATATAACATTTAGTGAAAACTTCTGGTTACAAAGCAATATATAAAAATAACACCCACTTCATTAAATATGATTCTTTTTATTTATAATGTCAAGTTATTTTACAAATAGCATTTCAAATTTTTACTAAGAACATTGTATTATTCAAATTTTGTTTCAGAATCTAAACCGTAATAAAAGGCCTCAGAAATATTATCTTCCTTTAAAATGTTGTCTACTTAGATCTAATCCAAAAGGAAATAAAACAAAATTATAAAAAGTCAAATCTATTTCAGAAAATTTTTTCTTAAGAACATCATATTGCCCGGTGTGGTGGCGCACGTCTATAATCCCAGCACTTGGGAGGCTGAGGCAGGAGGATTATTGTGAGTACGAGACCAGCCTGGGCTACAAAGTGAGCTCAAGAAGGTCGTGAGTTCGGTTCCCGGTACCGGAGAAAAAAAAAAAAAAAAAAAAAAAAAAAAAAAAAAAAAAAAAAAAGAAAAGAAAAAAAGAGCATCATATTTTCTTCATTTTATATCAGAGTGAAAGAGGTTTAAACTTTCTCATGTATTTTGATTCAACTGAGAAAGCGTGGTTTTATTCAATAAGGAACTAAGCACTGGGAAAAGAATTAAGTTAAAATTAAGTTACTTCATATCATATACCAAATTCTAGAGGGATTAAAAATTTAGACCTTAATATAAAAAACCATGTCTAAAAGATACATGTGAAAAATGCATGTGATACTTGTAATATCTGAAAGTGGAAAGGCTTTCTAGGCACAATATCAAAAGCAAAAAACAAGGGAAGAAATTGGTAGATTTGACTTCAATAAAAGTCTTAAACTTCTAATTAAAAACAAAACTATCACACAAAAAGACAAGAGACATAACAGTTTGATCTTTAAATAACAGGAAACATCATTGGGAAGACCAACATTAACCAAAAGGATCTAAATATTCAATCAACAAGTATGAATTGGCTACCTGCTACAAGTTGGGCATCCTACTGCCTAACCACTGATTTTTATGCATGATAGATTTTAGTAAATTAAGACTAAATTAACTACTTTAAGCTGCTCAATTCTTTTTGGTAGATATCTGGAATCACTTCTGTTTTTCTAGGGAAAAGCTAATACAGTAGAAACATAGGTACCAATAATAATTTCTGTAATTTTGCATAAAAGCCCTCTAAATAATGATTCTGAGTTAAGAGTCAGAAAAAGCAGTCATTTCAACCAAAGGGACAGAAGATGGCAGCATCTGTACCAATTCTAACACAGCAAAGGGGACATACTTCAGTCTCTGAGTCATTGGAATCCAGCTGTGGTGGAAGGATGGGCAGCATGGGCTGGCCCATTTTAGCCATCCGAGAGATCAACTTGGCCTTGACTGTATCAGGACTCTATAAAAGAATTGCAGAAAAATCATTTTGATTAAGGTTCATAACCTTCAGGCAGCTCTTTCCCTCTTTGCCTCTTGCATCAAATCTTCTTCAAGTCCCCTACTATAGCTCTTTGAAACCATTTCTTCTAGAAAATGAGAATTAAAGATGGCCTGCACTGAAGCACACAATTAATTACAGCAATAAAAATAATTCCCTACTTGTCTGAAACAGACAGAGTGGCTTCACATGCATTATCTCTTCAAAGTCTCCCCACTGGGCATAACTGTTCTCACTTTGCAAATGAAAAACTGCTGGAGACCCGAGCTATACAGGGTTAAGTTGCTGAACACAGGGACCACTGGTTGTGTGAGGAAACAGCATCTGCATTAGTGCTCTGAAGTCAAGGTAACCACCACCGCTGAGGCACACAAGGACATGGGCTGCTGACACTCCCTGTCCGAAGCAATAAAACTGCCAACTTTAGACAGAGTCCTCTTGAAAGCCTGAAGCAATTCAGCAGGTAGATATTCAGAAGAGATTGATGGACAGGATATAGGAACACTTTGTTCTAAATTGGGTTTCATTTAGCTCTGACTTGACATGGACTCATACTAGATTCTATGCTAGAAGCTTCTGTATCTATCAACTGGTCCAAATACAGTCCTCAAAGTGCAAAGTGCATACACCTAAAGGTACACAATATTATCTCCTCAGTGCAGAAAGAAATTATCATTTCCTCCATCATTACTACTTTTCAGCTATCAACATGAATATTGTTTGTTTACAGGGATTAATAGTATATAATTTCTCAACAGATGTACCCGGCAGCCTACGCACATTTTTTTTCTTAACTGATGGAGGTACATAATCAAAAGAAGTTGGATACATCAAGACAGGAGAGACTAATTATATAAACCACATCTACATAAAGAAATATGATGATCTACAGATTATAAAAAGATTAAGAAAGCACTCTATATACTAAGATGAAAAGATATTATACCTGTTTATGTTGGTATATATAAAAAACAAGGTGCATACTATATATAGCATCCTATTTTGTGTGGGAAAGGAGGGAAGACTAAAGTATACATTCCTATTTGCTTGCACCTGCATAAAGATACACTGAAAGAATATATTATGAAACTACTAAAAGTAGTTACCTAATGGGTGTGAGATGGAGTATGGTGGGTGGGAACAGGAATAAGAATGAAAGGTTGCAATGTATTTCTTGTTATATTACACTGATAATTATTCTATATAAATGTAATACCTATTTAAAACAAAAACTTAAAACTAGCAAAATTATTTTTAAAAAAAGATTTGGAAATCAGAAGATACTGATGCTCAGAAATAGGTGGTAAGAGTAGCTATGATTACAGAGTACAATGGAATCCATATTGTACAATGTTTTTGACTATCCAAAGATCTGAGATTATGATTATTTAAAAAGTTTTTTCTGATTCTTTAACTGAGCTGAATTTAGGAGATCACTTCTCACACATCTCAGATCAGTTACATGCTTAGTAATTTCTGCTTTTGGCTGAATACAAACAGACAAACTAGGGTTGGAGTGAAATGAAGCATCAGCTTCACTCAGTATTCCTATTCTATTTCCCAGTGCACTAGATGAAGGCCACAAGGCTTTAGAGTTGAAGTGCCATACCTACCACTTGGTCCACACATAGCACACGTGACCCTTCCCAACCAGGCAGGACAAGCAGGGCTGCAGTGAACTACCCTATACATCCTTCCTAAAAGCATTTAAATCCAGATCTTACTAAAACAATGTGCTGTTCTATAAAATAACATGAAAACATAAAACAATATGCTGTTCCTTTCATCTCACAACTGGGCAAATACAGAGGTCCAATGACCCACTCAAAGACAGTTGGTGAATTTAGTCCCAAATTCCTCTGAGATAATAAAAGTTTGAAGAAGATATGTAGCATTAGCAGTTATTGTAATAACAAGAGCTAATATTTATTGAACACTTATAATATGCAAGACATAGTACTAAAAACTCCAAAAGCACTATTTTATTTAAAAATCAGAAACATGTCTTTGAAACTGGCAACTATCTCTACTTAACAAATGAGGAATATAAGAGAAGAGAGATTAGAGAAGTTAAAGCTGCTCAAGGTAGCAGAGAAAACTGAGGGTTAACCACTAACGTATTCTTGAAATCATATTTTTAAAATTGAAGTTCATTTCAACTACAGGGCTTCTCCCCCAATCTAATGCCATTCTCCTAATAATATGTAATCATAGCTACCACTTTTTAAAGACATATTTTACATGGGATCTGAGCTCACAGCTTTACAAATATATCTAACTTTCACAAGAAGTGTAAGCGAGGGTTTTAAAAATTATTTCTATTCTACAACAACCCATTTGGGACCCCTCCTGTCTCTCAAGAGATATTCCTTTCCCCCGTCCTCCTCTTATTCCCTATTCCTTTTCTTCAATAAATTTTCCTACTCTTAAAAAAAAAAATTTCCATTCTAACAATGAAGAAGCTAAAGATCTAAGAAGTTAGATAATTTTCTCAAGGACTGACCATGTGAAAGCCAGGCTAACTTACACTTACAGGAACCATTGATTTCTAGCTAAATCGAGAATTTGTAATATTTTTTTTCCCTCTAACCTGCCATAGTTTAGACATCTGAAATGTTGGCACATTGGGGGGAGGGAGACAGATTCTCATACTCACCGAGTTTGCTGTAAGCTGTTCACTCAGGGAGTTAGATTTGGTACGAAGAGCTGGTTCCCTGAAAGTAAGAGACATCTTAAGATAAAAACAAAATCACAACCACAAACCCAGATTATGCTGGAGGAACAAACTGTTTTTGAAAATGTTTACCAACCTATGGCTGTAAAATGGAGTTTTAAGTCTTCTTTAGTTTGCATAATCTTTGAATGCTTATGAAGATAAACACCTTTTTATTCAAATGCCCTTATTTTATTTTTAGACATACTCATGAAAAAATATACATTTGAGCCTTTGCTCAATTTTTTCCCATCATTTTGTAGGTATTCTTATGTGAGTTAGTGCTTTTACAGACCAGAAATATTAATCCTTTGTCAGGAATACTTTTCCCATTTTCCTGATCCCACTTTTCTCCAGTTATTTAAAATTATTGCAGTTTTTAACTACAGTCTTTCTCCTGAACCCCTCCATGAATCACTTTTATGAACAATGAAAGAACTTGGTACAAGGCCAGCGACTCACCCTGATCTGAAAGGCACTGATGTGGGTGGTGACACAACAGGCTCCGCAGAGTGGCTGTCTGCACCAGGAATGGGAGAAGGGGCTGCAGAGTCCCGGGAATTAACACTATGCCCATCAGACCCAGAATCTCTGGCAAACTTCACCTAGAGAAGGAGCCAGCACAGGTTAAAGAGGTTACAAATATCCTTTCCCATCCTCATGCCTCTCATTTTACTTATTCTTTATCATACAAACCATCACCTGTTAACTGCAGGTAAATCAGAAAAGTTAAAAAAAAAAGGAATGGTCACTTGCAATTCAGCCATCATTATATTATCTGTAAGTAGGTGTGCATACATGCATTTGTTTTTACAAATATGGGCCATCCTGTTTCATAACCCGCTTTGTGCATTCACTGACATACTAACATAATAACTAAATATTTTTGTTTGTTTGTTTGTTTTTCTTCCAGTACCAGGAATCGAACTCACGACCCTACGCTTGCCAGGCAGGCGCTGTGCCACTGAACTAAATCCCCAGCCCCTAAATAACTAAAATTAATTGTCAGAATTATTTTTACTATTAAAGAATATGTCTGCCTTTAAGGGTCATGTGCCTTCCTGCTGTGATCTACAAGGAAAAGTCTCTAAAGGATGTTTAAAACAGAAGCCATAAATATCTATGCTATTACAAAATGTAGCTCACCAATTCCTCACTGTTATACAGCTTATTTATATCATAAATAATGCTTCTATGAATAGCTTTTTATCTTCATCTTTGCACATAATTTTAAATATTTCCAAAGTATAAATTCCCAGAAGTACACCTATAATCCTAGCTACCTAGGAGGCTGAAGCCGAGACTAGGGGAATCACAAGTTCAAGATCAACTTGGGCAATTTTGGGAGATCCTGTCTCAAAAAACAAAGCCAGGCACGGTAGCTCACATCTGTAATCTTAGCATTAGGGAGACTGAGGTAGGAGGATCACTGTGAGTTCAAGGTCAGCCTGGGATACATAGTGAATTCAAGGCCAGCCTGAACTGCAAAGTGAGACCCTGTATCAGAAAACTAAAATAAATAAATTTTTTAAAAAATTAAATAGTTGGGCATGGTGGCACACACTGGAGGCTGAGGCAGGAGGATTGCTGTGTTTGAGGAGAGCCTGAGCTACACAGAGAGTTCAAGACTCACCTAAACTACAAAGCAAGACCCTGTTTCTAAGAGAAAGTGATAAAGCCGGGGGGGGGGTGGTAAGTGAGAAAGAAAAGAAGAAAGAGAGAGAGGAAGATGGACAGAAGGAAGGAAGGAAGAGAGAGAAAGAAAAAGATGAAAGAAAAGCAGGAAGGAAGGCTTGGTGGTATAGCTCAATGGTAGAGTAAGATGAGGCTTAGTCCCCAGTATGGCAAAAAAAAGTATGACAAATTTCGTTGTCTATTTCATTGGCTTGGGAGCTACCTGGGAGATTAGTAAATAGTAAAACAGACTTGTGAGTTTATCTGGGTGTGTGTAGCTTTAAGGTCTATATCGTATCTGGTCCCTGACCTCTTCCTCTCTGGTGCTGCTCTGTATTCTGCTTCCCAGCAGCCACCACGAACTAAACAGCTTTGCTCTACTCCACCCTTCTACTATCATGTTCCTGCCTCGGAGCCAGCCAACCATGAACGGAACCCTCTGAAACTGTGAGTCAGGTCTAGGCCACCCAGAGCGGTGCCCTGTGGGAGCCCAGCAGAGGCTGGAGGACCGGCTCGAGCCCCTCCGCCTGGCGGCAACGCCCCTCCCCCACCGACGGGCACAGAACGACAGCAGCGGTTTGTCGTTAGTCTCAGGGATTTAAGATAAACCTTTTAAGGCCCAAAGGGCAAATGCAGCCATGAATGAAGAAAATATGGATGGAACAAATGAATGCAGTAAAGTTCGAATTGGTTTGCAGAATGAAGCAGCACTGCTTGCTTTAATGGAAAAAACTGGGTACAATATGGTTCAAGAAAACGGACAAAGGAAATTTGGTGGTCCTCCTCCGGGCTGGGAAGGTCCACCTCCACCTAGAGGCTGTGAAGTTTTTGTAGGAAAAATACCTCGTGATATGTATGAAGATGAGTTAGTTCCTGTATTTGAAAGAGCTGGGAAGATATATGAATTTCGACTTATGATGGAGTTTAGTGGTGAAAACAGAGGTTACGCATTTGTGATGTACACCACCAAAGAAGAAGCCCAGTTGGCCATCAGAATTCTTAATAATTATGAGATTCGACAAGGGAAGTTTATCGGTGTGTGTGTAAGCTTGGATAACTGCAGATTATTTATTGGAGCTATTCCCAAGGAAAAAAAGAAAGAAGAAATTTTGGATGAAATGAAGAAGGTTACAGAAGGAGTTGTAGATGTCATTGTATATCCGAGTGCAACTGATAAGACCAAAAATCGTGGTTTTGCTTTTGTTGAGTATGAATCTCACAGAGCTGCTGCTATGGCTAGAAGAAAATTAATTCCAGGAACATTCCAGCTGTGGGGCCATACCATTCAGGTCGACTGGGCTGATCCAGAGAAAGAGGTTGATGAGGAAACCATGCAAAGAGTTAAAGTTCTCTACGTGAGAAATTTAATGATTTCAACTACAGAAGAAACGATTAAAGCAGAATTCAATAGATACAAACCTGGTGCAGTTGAACGAGTAAAAAAACTTAGAGATTACGCTTTTGTTCACTTTTTCAACCGAGAAGATGCAGTAGCTGCTATGTCTGCTGTGAATGGAAAATGCATTGATGGAGCAAGTATTGAGGTAACACTTGCAAAACCAGTAAATAAAGAAAACACTTGGCGACAGCATCTTAGTGGTCAGATGAGCCCCAGTCCTGAAAACCTGACAGTGTACGCTAACAAAGAAGAAAGCCACCCCAAAACTCTAGGCAAGTCACCAACTCCTCCTGCTCTTCTCAATGGTCAGCACAGCCCAAGCCCCCCTGAAATTGAAAGATGCACTTATCCTTTCTTTCCTGGAACAAAGCTTACTCCAATTAGTATGTATTCTTTAAAATCCAGTCATTTAAATTCTGCAGTAATGCACTTGGATTATTACTGCAACAAAAATAACTGGGCACCACCAGAGTATTATCTGTATTCAACAACCAGTCCGGATGGGAAAGTACTCCTGGTATACAAAATAGTTATTCCTGCTATTGCAAATGGATCTCAGAGTTACTTCATGCCAGACAAACTCTGCTCGACATTAGAAGATGCAAAGGAACTGGCAGCCCAGTTTACATTATTTCATTTGGACAGGGAACACAATCTATTCAGCCTGGACCTGTGTAGAAGAATTTGGAGACAATAAGCAGGTCTTTTCTGATGTTGCTTGAGCTTATTCTCCTGCAGTTGATCTCATTCTTGTTGGCTAAACATAACGCTTATGTGTTATAGGCCTACTTTATGGTACCAGGACAATATTACAGAGAAAATAACTCTCTACCTGTAAATAAATGGCCTAATTTATCTCCTTCTATTCCTAGAAACAACCTAACTTTTATAAATAACCAATTTAAAGTCATTGTCATACCTTTGACTTATTTTACACTAAAGAACATAGTTGAGTTTTTGGAAAGTACAAGATTTACTGATTTGGTCTTTAATATACACACAAAAAATTATTATAGTTAATGCAGGAAATTGTTGGTACATCTGATGAATGTAAACTGGAAAAATAATATTTTGAATATAATTGTTTTTTAATAATTTGGTTCAATTTTTTGAATATTTTTCTATACTACAAGTTGATAGTGATTTTTTAAACTTTACATTATAAAGATGACTCATTTTAATGTTTTATGGTACCAGTAAGGACTCTTAATATTACATTGGTATGTGAAGTCATGTTTACATTAGCATTTAATTAATACAATACTTAATAATAGGTTAGTTTATGGCAAATGTTTTGCTGGTTTGATGGCTAATACAGTTTTTCTAAAAAGAAACTATGAATTGTTATTTTTTATTTTTTCTTCATGAGCTTACCTCTCAGTATTAGAACCAAATTTAAAAGCAGGTTCTTTGTGGAGCAAGAGAAACTTTCTTTCTCTATGTTAAAAATTCCAAGGATGCATTCTAGTAAGATCTCTGAAGCACTGTGTCAGCGAAGGAAAACATTAATATTGACTTGATAAAACTATGAGGATTTGCATTGCTGTTAACATGGAAGTAATCTATACCGCTGATACAGTATCATCAAGATTTTGAATGTTAGAATGTTATGTTAAAATGTGATTATAGTTTAATGCTTTGTCTCGTTGAATGAAATTTATGGCTAAAAAGATGTGCAGTGTAATTTCCCATATACTTATTTACAGACAGCAGTTTCCGTTGCAGCTCAATAAACAATCTTTGACTTGTTAGTGCTACCCTCTCTTCTAGGATTCTCAGTGTGCTTCCTTATACTTCAAGGCATTATTCTTATGAAAGCTATCCCCTGTCACCCATAATATCTCTTGCTAATTGCAGCTGTGTTGGACAATGACTATGTATCTCCAATCAGGCCTCATTCTTGTAAAGAAAATCTATAAACATTAGTATGAAAATTACTTCGTATAAAGCATACAAATTAAAATACTGTTTCATTTTAGAATCAGGTTTGCACATTTGGCTTTAAAAATAATATATCCCAACATACTAAACATCAGCTATAATTCAGAATAACAGAATTGTAGAATTTATAACAATGCAGTGATTGAAAAGTTATTCATTAGTTTAGCAAACCTGCTATTCTTTTAAAACTGGGAATTTTCTTGTAATTCCTAAGTGGGCAATAGATCCCAGTAGTTTGTTATTTTTTGTGTAACTACCTTTGCAAAATATTAAGCCATTGAAAACAACAGTTATACTAGATTTGATAACCAAAGATCACTATCTGTATTGGAGATTAAAACAATTGTACCATAGGTAGGAAGAAATAATGACACAAAAAGATTAAGGGGCATAAACAAATTCTATGCAATACTAAACACAATCTACCATTGTGGTCCTTGAAAATAGCTATCAATATTTCAGTTAATAATTATTTGTTACAGAAATAAATTCCAGGGGCTGGGGATTTAGCTCATCGGCATAGCGCTTGCCTGGCAAGTGAGAGGTCGTGAGTTTGATTCCCGGTACCAGAAAAAAACAAAAACAAAAACAAACAAAAAAGAAATAAATTCCGTTTGCTCTGAAGATATATACTTAAGGTATTTATAGTTATGCTTCACTTGTGCTCTTAATATTCCCTGTATTTGAATAAGAAGTATTATGGCTTTTAATGTTGAAATCATGTGTTAATTTTTGTACTTGAATTTGAACTCAGACATTAAATATATGATGGCTCTAAAAAAAAAAAAAGAAATTGTGAGCCAAATAAACCTCTTCTTTAAATTCTGTCAGGTAAAGCTGAACAATAGAAAATGTACGCTGATTTCTAAGACTTTAAATTTATGTCTTAAATTTCCCACCAGAAGGCCAGAGGCTCACACCTGTAACACCAGCACTTAGGAGTTGGTAAGGCAGGAAGGTTTCAATTTCGAGGCCAGCCTGGACTATCAAGTGAGACTCTGTCTCAAAAAACAAAAACAATAAGAAATTCCCACCAGAAGGAGTGAGCTAAACTGGATGTGGTGGCAAACAAAGTCACTCTGGGAAGAGGGGCGTATTAATCACAATTTGTTACATTTTTAATAGAAACTATACAAATTCATGACAACATTTTTAGGTGGTACAAAAAAGGTGGGATGTGAAAAAAGTTTCTGAACTCTATTTCCACTCTCTAAAGAAAAACTTTCAGTCATTTCTTTTAAAGCTTCCAAAGCCAGGAATGGTAGCCCCTGCCTGTAATCCTGGTACTTGGGAGGCTGAGGGAGAAGTGCTGTGAGTTCAGGCCAGCCTGGGCTACACAGTAAGTTCAACACCACCTTCAACTACATAGTGAGACCCTATCACAAAACAACAACAACAACAAAAGCTTCCAGAAATTTTCTATAAATATATGGCCATATGTGTGAAATATATGTATATATATATAAACCATATGCATGTATGATTGTATGTGTACATATATGTACATGTATGTGTGTATACACACATACACGAGACCGTGGTACCCATACTGGTCTGCCATTTGCTTCTTTCACTTAACAATAGATTATGCATTTTTTTTTCTCTTTGCAGTACTAGAGAACCAGGGCTTTGGGCCTGCTAGGCAAGTATGCTACCACTGAGCTACATTCCCAGCCCTTTTAAAGTTTTTATTTTGAAACAGGGTCTGATTAAGTTGCATGGGCTGGCCTCAAATTTTCAATCTTCCTGCTTTAACCTCTGGAATAGCTGGGATTACAGGCACTCACCCCTAAGCCCAGCTTAGTTTATGTATATGCCTTTAAGAGCTACATAAAGGTACACACTGAAAAAAATATATAACTTAACCAACACAAGTTATTTCCACTTTTTTACTATTACAAACAATGTAGCAGAAAAAATACACACACACACACTCAAACACACACACACAATATATATCTTCGCATATTTATGTAAATGCATCAATAGGATTGACTGATTTTTGCTGTGTTGGGAACAGAACCCAGAGACCTAACATACGCTGAGCAAGTACTCTACTACTGAGCTACAACTCCAATAGAATGAATTTGTAGCAATGGAATCACTAAGTCAAAAGATATATATGTCAGAAATGACTATTTTATAAACAAACTAAAAAAGAAGCTCAGTGTGGAGAAGTAATCTGCCCCAAGTTATAACCTCTAGACTCTAAAGAGAGACAAGGAAAGGCATAAACCTTCATCTTTAGATTCCAAAGTTGTGGTTCTTTCCAATGATACCATTTCTACTTAAAAAAAAAAAAGTATGGTTTCAGCACCTGGTTTGCCAGCACATTCATTCAGTTATTCATTTACTTATTCATTTACTTAACTAGCAAGGAGACACCTGAGGACTCATAAGCACACGCAGCAGTGTCACTCACCCGTTTAACTTCCACCTCGAACACCAAGATAGAGTCCGCTGACTGAGTCCAGCCTACTAACCCTTCAGAGCCAGCCGCACAGGCTGGGGGGATGATAAGCAACCGCTTTCCTCCTTTTTTCATGCCCAGCATTCCATCCTCCCAGGCCTTTAGAATCAGAGATGGAAAAAACCTCATCAGACAAGAAACACCTCATAAGACAAGTGGAACACTGAATTTCACTTATCTAAGTTCAGGTCTGAACATCTCCACAGGTCAAATTCAGTTATTACCCACACTGGTTGTAAGACTAAGCCAGGAATGGTGCTCCACAACCTGTAATCCCAGCACTTGGGTGGCTGGGGCAAGAGGATCGCCTCAAGTTCTAGGTAAACCTGGGCTTATACAGTAAATTCAGGACCAGCCTAAAACTACATAGGGAGACTAACTAACTAACTAACTAAATAAATAAATAAATGGCCTACAATATAGTTTTAAAATCTATTGGTAAAAACTGGAACATCTGGGGTTGGGTAAAATATACTTACCTTAGATGATGAGACAAAATGAGAGGAATTAAATAGCAATAAGAAAAAGGGCCACCATTTATTAAGAATGTTTTTCTAGATACTGTGGTTAAATGTTTTATATGCATTATCTTGTTTAATCCCCAAAATAATCTCAAAAGATTGACAGAATTATTTCTGTTTTATAAATAAGAAAACTGAGTTTGGAGGTAAGTTTTATAAATAAGAAAACTGGAGGTTAAGTAACTAGGCCAAGGTCATGTAGTTAGTAAGTCATTAAACCAAGATTCAACGTGAGATCTGTCTAGCTTTAAAAACCATGTCTTAACTGCTATGATTACAAGGAAAACATCTCCAAAGAATTCTAGGAAAAGCAGTCATAAAGCAGTGGAGAAAAGAGCTGAGCTACACAGATAACTGAACACGCCAAAATGCAGTGATGATGTCCTGATGAAATTCCACATACGTAAAACAAAACACTGGCACAGTTAGCAAAAACAAAATTCACAACATGAACTCAAGTGACACACAATTCTAAAAGAAACAGTTTTACCTCTTTCCTTGTTAGGCTATAGGAAGGATATAATACTTTCCTCAAGAGTCACAGGATAAAAAATGGTAGGGATACTTTGTTTGTAACTCTGTGTTGTCTGTATTGTGCTTGTGATATGTTGTAAAATGTTGTATGTCTGTTAATGTTTCCCTCCTTTTATCTTTAAAATAAAAAAAAAATAAATAAAAAAAATAAATAAATAAAAATGGTAGGGATTACAGAAAACAAATGTATCTATCTTCAATACAGTGTCCTAGGCTTAAAATCTCCCACATTGTGATAAGGTACCTTATTCCTGCCCTCCTTCCTTTCAACAAAGCACTTCCAGACTCTCACAATATATACCCATTAGAAATGTCACAAAATTTAACCTAAATTGTAAAAGACAGAGTTTTACCTTGATGATTTTTCCTGATCCTAATTTCAGGCGAAGCAGCTTATCTTTGTTAGCAGTGGAGTCAAAAACCTGCAATTTGATCAAAGTACATAAGGTCTGACAATTTCAAAAATAGTAATAATCATTATGATATTCAACTAACTACATATCAGCTCAGTACTTCTACAATACAGAATATCAAATATAGCGAAAAACAGATCTTGAAGAACCTGAAAAGATGGGATCATATCAGGGCTAACAAGTGTAGTGAAAACCCATGAGACTTTTCTAGATTTAGAGGAAAAATTGTTTTTTTTGTTTTTTTTTTTTTAGTCTTTTTGAGACAGGGTCTCACTTTGTAGTTCAGGTTGGCCTTAAATTCACTTTGTAGCCCAGGTTGGCCTCAAATTTGCAGCAATCCTCCTGCCTCGGCCTCCTGAGTGCTGGGATTATAGGCATGGGCCACCACACCTGGCCTAAAAAATACATTTTTACTACCATGAATTTAAATATTTTCATCCACATAGAATTTTCAAATAAATTATTTCATTTGGTGGTCACATTAATTCTAACAAGCAAGCAGAGAAAGATCAATAGCTCCCATTCACAAATGGCAAAAAAAAATTAAGGTCTTAAATAAATTAATCCAGGTCAAATTCAGATAAAATTGAAACTTATAGCCATATTTTTCTAACTAATAATCTAAAAATCTTTGTGTCGCATACTGCTTTTGAGGCCTTAACAATATTAAAACTCAACAAGCTCCACATTACAGTATCTGCTACAAGAAACACTGGAACGTCCCTACCAACCAAGATCTAATGCCATAAGAATATATTGAAGTATAAAACAGATGTAGAAGAACAAGACAACAAATGGCAAAAATAATACTTGGGAAATTGGTTTCTACTTGCCCTAAGTAGAAGATAGAAAGTGGCACTGAGCAGATTTTACACATAACAATCTCATGAATATGCCCTAAAAGTAGTTGTGATGACGAAGGCAGGGCTCCTAAAAGATTTCTATTTGCCAAAAGTAGTAATAATACCTTCCATGTGAATAGTCTTTGGTTTCTTAAATTACAAAACCTTGCAGAGTATATTTTCTTACCCGGCCCAGCACATGGTTCTGAAAAAGCCAGCCAGTGTAGGCCACTTCCAAAGAATCTCCCACTTCTACAGCAGAGCCTTCTGCCACAATGAGGTCCTGAGAGAGCACTGCTTCCAAGGAGGAGGTACTGTTGCATTTGGCAATGCACACCTGCAAAACAAAAATCAATACAACATTAATTTGATTATGTGCCAGGTGTGGTAGCGCATTTCTGTAATCCCAGCACCTGGGAGGCAAAAGTAAGAGGACTGCCGTGAGTTCCAGGCCAGCCTGGGCTATGTAGTCAGTTCAAGACCAGCCTGTGAGTCTCTGCCTAAAAAAAAAAAATTAAAAATAAAAAAATTCATTCCTGCATTACTAATGCTGTTTTCTTTTCTTTTCTTTTCTTTTTAAAGTATTTTTATTTTTTTTGTACTGGAACTCAAACTCAGGACCTTGCACTTGCCAGGCAGGCACTTGGGCTACTGAGCTATATTCCTGGCCCTGCTAATGCTGTTTTCTAAACAGCCACACTCACTAACAAATGTTACATATTTGGAAGTAAATCTTCCAAAGTGAGTAATCTTGACAGGAATCACAGTGCCTAAGAGTATGGCTTTGGAGTCAGAATATCTGGGTCAGTTCTCCACTCTGATCCTGGCCAAATAACTTCATCTCCATGTACGTAAGATCCTCACATTTGTAAAACAGGGGAAAAAAACTTTGTGTATTTTATGGCATGTTTATAAAAATTAAATGAGCAGACACAAGTAAAGTACTTGGCAGTGCATTTGGGAATAAATAGTAAGTATTTAATAATCATTCATTATGATTAGTGTACTGATTTATTGTTTAGCATTTGGGAGCCCATGAAAGAGTTTCCAAAAAATTTCAAAAGGCACATCTAAAGGCACTACCAGGTTGCAGGGTTCCAGAACTCACACCACCACCACCTACAGACCTGATTATATTGTCCTAGCACAAATTTTAGGCAAAGGAGTCAGACTCATCTTTGTGAAAAATTACTATATACAGTCATGTTTTAAATAGTATACATTATAAATTTTCTACTCATTTTCTTTTTAAAAGCTTCATTATTACAATTAAACATTAACTAAAACAAGAGGATATCATTTTTTTATGAAGTGAATAAGACAAAAAGGAAAAATATCATTCTAAATGCTGGCAAAGGTACAGTGACAGAACTGATATGAATGTAAAATAGTATAATGCTTCTGAAAAGCACTGTGTCAGAGTATCTTCTAATCTTAAAAATATCTCAACCTCAGCCAGGGTGGTGGTACACATCTATAATCCCAGCACTCAGGAGGCTGAGGTAGGAGGATCACTGCAAGTTTGGGGCATTCTGGGCTACATAATGAGTTTAAAACTAGCCTGAACTACATAGCAAGACCCTGTCTCAAAAAAAAAAAATCTCAATCTTTTGACCTAGTCATTCAACTCTGAAATTAAAGTGTAAGGAAATGGGGGTGGGCAGGAGGACATACTCATATTTCTAAAATGCTCAGTTCAGTATCATTTACTACACAGACTGAAAAACAACATAAAAATAAGAGAATGGTTAAATAATTAAGGAGCATCTGTTATGGACTAAACGTCTGTGTCCCTTGCAAAATTTGTATGTTGAAATTCTAACCTCCAGTGTGTTGGTGTTAGCAGGTGGGGGCTTTTAGGAGGTAATTAAGTCATGACCTTACCTCCTTCATTTCAATAATATGCACTTAGAAGGGACACACACATTCAAAGTATAGTCTACATAATGCAATCTTCAAAATTTTTTTTCATGAAATGAAAAAAGCTAAAATAAGCGAGATATAGAACTCTTAAAGGAGTACATCTACTTATGCATATAATGCCTTGAAAAAAAAACAGTATGTTAATAATAGTTACTCTGGACAGAAGTGATTTTTTAAAAATATTCTTCTAAATTTCCTACAATGAATGTGTGATAACATAAAAAATTCTTTTAGAACATTATGTTTAAAGAGTTTTGCCAGGTGTGGTGGTAGATGCCTGTAATCTCTGATACTCAGGAGGGTGAGGTAGGAAGATTTCAAGTTGGAGGCCAGCCTGGGCAACTTAGGCAAGACCCTGTCTCAAAATAAAACAAAAAAGAGGAGTGGAGTATAGCTCAGTGGTGGAGCATTTGCCTAGTATGCATGAGGCCCAGAGTTTAAAACCTAGTATTACACATGCATACATACATACATATACACATACAAACACACACACACAAAGTTTTAATTCCGTAAGATAATCTGGGAAGCAAAAAATGTTTTAATCAAGTAAATTTACACTGAATCTTTTTTCTTCTTAGAAAGTCTCATTATAAAGCCATTTCAGTATTTCTGTTTTCCTGAAATACAATACATTGAGGTGGCAAATTCAGTGAGTTTTTACGCTTTTCACTAATAACAGATAGCAGTTATACATTTGCCATGTATTTCCCTAAAACTAAGGAAATTTGCTCTGCGTTTGCACAGGAAAGAGCATGATGGTATCACCTGTTTATTGAATTCCGCAGCAGCCTTCTCTGATTCAAACATGATGGACCAGTTTTGCCTCTGGTCATCATAAAAGGTGCTGTAGTTATTGGGCCGAACCTGAAAAAAGAAATGGGATAACTGAAGCACAAGTAGTATAGTGACTAAAGCTAACCATCTAAACTCCGAGCAGAGCTCAAACAGAGTCAAAAAGAAGAATCAGCAACCTTTCTTCTCTCCCACTACCACCCTATAGTCCACAATCCCAGGTAATACCCCAGGGACCTTTCCGAAACACTCTGTTCAGTGCTCACACTGATGCCCAGGACTGAGGCAGTAGTACGCTCAGACCAATCTCTCCTGCAAACCTCCCAAAGGGTTTCATATTCCAATATGGGGAACTCTTACCGTCAGCTCAAAGTTCAGATGGATCCTAGCAACAGTAACTGGCTGTTGCTGACTGATATAAAGAAGAATCCTGTACTGCACTCAATCACAGATGGGTACAATAAAAAAAGAACAGAGTTAAAAGGCAATACAAAGTCAGCAGTAAGACACAGAGTTGTGTTTCATACAGCTATGAAATTCAAAACCATTCATTCTTAAAAGTTTAGGTTTTAAATTCTATCTTCCCACTCTCCATTTTCTCCCTTCTCATTTCAGTCTTATTGTTTAGTAGGTGTAATTAGCAATACCTTTAACTTGTCAATAATTTCAATCCTAAAAAGATGACTAAAGACAGTGACTTAAAAGGAAGTAACATTAAAATTGAGAAAGATCACATAGTAAATGCATAAATCTTAAACATGCAACTCAATAATTTTTTACACACATATATGCTCACAGGGTCACTGAATAGACTGAAATAAGCAGAGTGCTTGCACCCTCCTGGAAAGCTCCCTGTGCCCCTCCCTTCAGTAATCCCAACCCTGAGGTAACCACTAGTCTGACTTCAATCAGTAACAAAGAGACTTTGTTACTCTTAAATTTATATAAATAGGATTTTAGAGTGTACCCTTATTTCATATACCAGAACACTGTTCTCTTTTATTGTGAGGTAGTACTGTATTACATGAATATACCACCATCTACTAATCATTCTTCTGTTTATAGATAATCAAGATATTTCCAGTCAAACACTATTATGAATAGTGCTACTGTAACATTCTTTGTGTCTTCTGGGGGACATAAACATGCATTTCCTTCAACCCAAAAAACTCAATGCTTCTTATAGTACAAATCTACTGGTAATAAATCCTCTCAGCTTTTAGTTGTCTGAAAATCAATTCTGTCTTTATTTTTGAAAGGTCTTTATTTTGGTACATAATTTTAGATGTGGGGTACAGTTCAGGAGCAGAGCATGTGCTTAGCATGGGCAAAGCCCTGGGTTCGATCCTCAGTACCAAAAAAAAAGAAGAAAGAAAAAGAATTTAACAGACATTAAACTACAATAAAATACCACTTCACACCTATTAGAATGGCTAGAATAACAAATTAGCAAAATGTTGGCAAAAATCCTCATGTATTGTAGAAATATGAAATGCTACAGCCATTGCAGAAAACAGTTTGTCAGGTCCTCAAAAAGCTGAACACAGAAGTGCCACATGACTGGGCAATTCCTGCTTCTCTCACAAGGAACAATCTCCGTAATATAAGGGTGCACAGTGAAGCAGCAACTGCTCATGTAAAAGCTGCTCAAATACAAGTCCTTTTGTTACGCTTTGCTTTATTGTGCCTTGCAGACAGTGCACTTTTTACAAGTTGAAGGTTTTTGGCAACTCTGCATCAAACAAGACTACTGGCACCATTTTTCAGGAGCGTGTACTCACTTTATGTCTGTGTCACATTTTGGTAATTCAAACTATTTCATACTGTTTTCATTATTAGTTTATCTGTTATGGTGACTGATCAGTGATTTTTTTTTAAGATAGTCACTAAATTGCCCAGGCTGGGCTCAAACTTGCAGTCTTCCTGCCTCAGCCTCACAGAGGGCTGGGATTACAACAATGTGTCACTACACCCTGCCATCAGTGATCTTTGATGTTACCATTGTAATGTTTTGGGGGCACTATAAACCGTGCCCCTATGAAATGGCCCACTTAAATGGTAAATGCTGTGTGTGTTGTAACTACTCCATCAAACAGCTGTTCTCCATCTCTGCCTTTCCTCCACTCTATTCTGAAACACAACAATATTGAAATAAGGTCAATTAATAACCCTACAATGCCCTTGAAGTGTTGAACTGAAGGTAGAATTGCACATCTCGTTCTAAACCAAACACTAGAAATGCTTAAGCTTAAGGAAGATGAACTACGCTTGGCCTCTTAGGCCAAACAGCCAAGCTGTGAATGCAAAGCAAAAGTTCTTGAAGGAACTGAAATTGCTACTCCACTGAACACGTGAGTGATAGCAAAGTGAAACAGCCTCACTGCTGTTGTGAAGAAAGTTTTAATGGTCTGGCTAGACCGAAACAATTATAGCACTTCCTATAGCCAAAACCTAGTCAAGCTCAACGTTCTGAGCCTCTTCAATTCTATGAAGGCTCTGGGAGATGAAGAGCCTGCAGAAGAAAAGTCTGAAGCCAACAGAAGTCGGTTCATGAGGTTTAAGAAACCATCTCCAAAATATAAGGGTGCATAGTGAAGCTGCAACCTGCTCATGTAAAAGCTACAGATTATCCAGAATATCTAGATAAGGTCATTGATGACCAAACAACAGATTTTTTAATGTAGACAAGATAGCCTTATACTGTATTGAAAAAGGACGCTATCTAGGACTTTCACAGCTAGAACAAAAGTCAATGCCTGGCTTCAAAGCTTCAGAGGAGCCAGGTGTGGTGGCACACACCTGTAATCCCAGCATTCTGGGAGGGTAAGGCAGAAGACTGCAAGTTTGAGCCCTGTCTGGGCAACTTTGCAACTCACTGAGACCCTGTCTTAAAAAAAAAAAATCGGGAGGTAGCTCAGTGTGAAAGCCCTGGGTTCAGTACGGCCTTCAGAAGGTCAGACTGACTTTCAAGTTAGGGGGTAATGCAGCTGGTGATTTTAAGTCTAAGCCAATGCTCATTTCTTGTTCTGAAAATCCTAAGACCCTTTAAGAATTACATAAAGTTACTCAACCTCTGTGCTATAAATGGAATAGCAACAAAATGTACAGGATAGTATATCTGTTTACAACATGATTACTGAATATTTTTAAATCAACTGTTCAGACCTATTACTCAGAAAAGTCTTTTCAAAATATTATTGCTCACTTATAGTGCACCCAAGAGCTGAAGGTGGAGGTCTATGAAAAAGATTAATGTTGTTGGGGCTGTAGTCAGTGCTAGAGTCTTTGCCTAATATACACCAGGCCCTGGGTTTGATCTCCACCACAGGAAAAAAAACATTGTTTTCTTTTCTTTTCTATGTTTGTTTGTTTGTTTGAGAGAAGGTTTCACTATGTAGCCCAGGCTGACCTCGAGCTCACAGCAATTCTCAGTGCCTCAGCCTGCACAGTGCTGGGATTACAGACATGTGCAATCACGCCCAGCTAAAACAGGCAAATTTATAGAAATAGAGAGTAGATTAGAGGTTATACAGAGATGGGAAAAGGGGAGAGAGAGGGTTATTGCTTAATGGTTACAGTTTCTGTTTGGGATTATGAAAAAGGAACAGTGATGATGGTTGCTCAACATTATGGAGTTAATGCTACTGGACTGTCCATTTAAAAATGATTACATGGCAAATTCCATACACATATGGCACTATATGTATATATTATATAGTATATGCATATATTGTACTGTATGTATATATTATAGTTCATTCTCAACATCCATGGATTTTATATCCATTGATTCAACAAACTGGATTGAAAATATTTGGGGAAAAAAATTGTGTCTTGCAGTCTAGGAGACTGAGGCAAGAAAAGACAGCAAGTTCAAGGACAGCCTGGGCAACTTACCAACTCAGACATTGAGTTGTCAACTGTCTCAACATTTAAAAAAAGTTAAAAGGGATGGTGATGTAGCTCAGTGTGAAGACTCTGGGTATAATCCCCAGTATATACCACCAAAAAAAAAAGTACCTATACCGAACCTACGCAGATTGTTTTTCTTAGCATATTCTCTAACATAACAAGTACTTACAAAGTATTTTCACTTTATTAGGCATTGTAACTATAGATGGTTTAAAGTACACGGGACAATACGCATAAATTCCTATGCCAGTCATCCAGTTTTGCACCTACAGGGGGGCCCTGGAATCACTCCCCACCGACACCAAGAGATAACTCTGTGTGTGTGTGTGTGTGTGTGTGTGTGTACACGCGCACACAGGTGTCTGTGGGCATGAGTGTGTGAAAATACACCACACAATTCAACAAATGAAAAACCAAATAAAGTTTACCCTTTGAAGCAGGGGAACTATGGGGACTTACATGTGATCTTCTACCAGAAAGGATTTTCCTTTTCTTAAGTTAGACAGAGTGAAGGGCTGCTGGAGACCACTACAAAGTGGCTGTGAGCTGGAATTAATATTAATCAATTGGCTTTCCATGTTTACTTGTGAGTTGTTTGAAGCTTAGGCACCTTGTCTGAAGACAGGCAGTGGACTCACAGTAAGTAAACCTCTGTGAGTCACCGGTCACCCTGAGGCCTGTATTGGCCTGTGAAGATGTGACTCCTCAAAGGACAAGATAAGGCCATAGCTGAGGACGTTTGGCTCCAATCCCAATTAACTACAAGGAGACTGTAGCTGCAGGCTCCACACTCCTACAATAAATACCAACCTAAAGAGAAGGTAGTTCTCCTGACTGACATAATTTACTACTTGGGAAAATTCAACCAAGGTCCTGTGAGATTCCTGAATTTTTTTGAATATCCTCCTCCTTTGTTTGAAAACCAAATAAATATGGGCTGCCTAGAGAAGTCCTGGTCTAAACTCAGAGAATATCAAACTGTAAGAGAGTTAGTCCTTCCTGGAGCCCCGAAATCATTTCAATTGTCTCATTTATTTAAGTCTTCGCAGTCCACTCGGGAGATTGCGGGCCTCATCAGTCCACAATAACTAAAGGTTATTTAATCCAGTAAAGGGCCAATAACCTCAATCTAGTTACAGACCGATGGTGACGGAAGGATCATAAATTACTATTAACAGTCAGTGTACGTCAGTTATCCAGATTCTCAAGCATGACCTTCCCCGGCTTTTGACTAAGAGGTCTCTAATTCCTTGGTTCTGGAATTTCTACCCATCAGAGATTTTGAGCTGAGTCCTTTAGCTCTACACATCTGCCCCATAAAGTTCCAATTCCAGAAACTGTATTGAGAGGAAGACTTCTTGTTGCATATCCTATGCACCATAAGCCAGCAAAAGTTTTTCTCTGCATTTCTGGCACACCCCCTGGACTTCCCCACCATCCTAGAACTCAGCAAATACCCCATGGAGAAAAAACTAGTCTTGTGTTTGGAGCTCCTCTGGTTCTGCTAATTTCTTTCTCCAGTAGTCTCTCTGCTTGGGTCATACCTGCTCCCTAAGGTAAAACTAAAAGCAGCAAAAGACTCAAGGCAAAGAAACAGAGTCATCTCATTAGCTCTTCCTTCTCTGAAATGTTAGCTCATTTAGTCTTCTGCAATTCTACATCTCTCCAATGAATTTTAAAGTATAACTTTTGCTATTTTTCTGTTTTATAATCACTGCATCACTATATAACTACTATATCCCTTGTGATGGCAAAGTATAGTAAAGTCCCTATACTAAATTTTAAAAATCCAAACAGTAATCCCTAATGAATTAATAAATCTACATAGTCATCATCAGTGGCTGCTAATATAACAAAATGAGACACAACCAGACATCGTTTGTCTCCTGAAGAAAGAATGAAATATTTAAGAGATATAGCAACCAACTGCAATGTATGACCTTATTAGATTCTGATTCAAACAGATTATTTAAAAGATGGGGTTGGAGGTTGGTATTGTGAATACTAACTAACCTTCTGAAGAACAATTTGAAGCTAGATATAACGACAAGGAAATCAGTCTCAGGTTTTTAGCCACATCTACTCTTTGACTCAAACCAGTAATATGCTATGATCAACCACCTAATCTTACTTTCAAAATTTCAAAGGATAAGCACTCATCATTAACACAAGTACAAAAACATAATGTTTTGGGCCAGGGATATAGCTCAGCAGCACAGTGCCTGCCTGGAAAGCTCAAGGTCCCCAGTTCGATTCCCAGTACCAAAAACAAAAAACAAAACAAAAAAATGCTTTAAGCAATATAAAATAAATGTTTATTACCTATCCAACCACAGGATACTCTTAATAAATGGTTTACTCTCAACAAATACTTTTTTTTTGTTTGTTTGTTTTTCTTTGATCTCTCACTATGCAGTTCAGGCTTATCTTGAGCTCACTTTGTAGCCCAGGTTGGTCTTGAACTTGCCATGATCCTCCTGCCTCAGCCTCCTACTGGAATTACAGGCATGTACCACCACACCTGGCTCTCCAAATTCTTAAAGTAGGACTATATCCCCAAAGAGATGTGTAAAGATTTTGAGTGGTAAGATTGTTTTTTTAATCCATTAACAGTAGGCAAACTGTAATAATTTATTATATTCTAATATTATACCATTTGTGCGCAATACCAACAATCATTGCAATCCTCTGACACATGAGACCCTGGGCAAACCCAGATTAAAATCCAACTCACTGGTATTATTTGGGACATCTTAATAGGCATAAAATGTGAGGTATTCTCACCTCTTTGGCTATGTGGTTCCCCAGGACTGCAGCACCAAATTTTCCTTGCTTTACATACTGACCATTTATGCTGTTGAAGCAAGAAAAACAGCAAGCATTAATACTCCTCTAAATTATATAGGGCCAGCTTTCTTGTGTGGCATACAGAAGTGAGGGATGTACTAATTCAGTCTCTAGAAAAGGAAAATAGCAAGTAGTTTATAATTTAAAGCTCTTACACAACTTCTTTACTCTTTAAATATCTATTATTCATGTTATCCCAGTGGAATGGCTTGCTTTGAGAATTTAAAAAGTCAATTATTGAGGTCAGAAGTGCTTAACGAAAGTAGACAAGACAATGGTTCTGCAAGTTTTATGTGAAGAGATCTCCAACTGAAATGTTAATATGTACAGAACATGTACCAACTCCACACAAGGAACGCAAACATTATGTACTGCATATAAACATGTACCAAAAAAGGGAAAGTATCAAGAGACGGGTGGACAAGGAAGACAGAGCAACGGGAAAGGGTATGAAAAAAAGAATGTGCGACGTATATGTACCAACCTCCCACAAGGAATGTAAACGACATGTACTACACACATGTACAATGAACTAAAATTTTAAAAATAATCATAAAAAAGTGTTACTGATGCTGTTTGTGGGAGAGCTAAGCAAAAGTTTGCAATGAACAGAGGCTTTCTGAGAAAAGACAGGAGCTTAACCATTCTCCCCTCCCTGCCACCAAATTTCGAAAAAGGTTTCCTTTTCAATTACTCACTATCGATAAGCAAGGACTGCTGTTGCAACCAGTACTGCGGAGGTGCCTGTGGTGGTTGGAGCTGGTTTGGGGGTTGCCTGATTTCCTGAAGATGAAGAAGAAAGCAAAGTTGTCACTCATTTCTTGCTTGAAATTGATGTTCACCACTAACCTAGCTTCAAATTCTTCTTTACACCTTATAGTTAGTATTACACCGCTTTCATGACCAATATGCTCATTTGACCCACAAAATAGTTCTATGACCTCATCAGGGTTAGGAAACAGGCTCTAAGCACCCAAATGTCTTACACAGTGACAGTGGTAAAGCCCAGGACTAGAGCTCATGACTCCCACTCCCAAACCATCCACCACAAGCCTTTGACTAGACAAGACACACTTCTAGAAAGCAGGGTCTTATTCCATGTATTTCCTTTTCTCCTTTGCAATATTTTGATAGCTGTGACATATAAAAATAAACTTATTTCTCTTTATCTTACTTCTGGAGCAGGAACTTTAAGAAGAAATTTAAATGATACGTAGTACTTAACTTCATAGGTGCTACAGAATAACAGTAATGTTCTAAAATAGTACATTAAGAGTAAATTGCAGGATAGGGATACAGTTAGGTGGTAGAGCAAGTGCTCAGTATGCATAAGGCCCTGGGTTCAATCCCTAAGACTAAAAAAAAATAACTGTTTATTTATATTCACTAAGAAAATAAGCTGTTAGAATAGTAAGATAATAGTCACAAAAAAACCAACAACTTTTTTTTTTTTAGACAGGGTCTCACTAATGTAGTTCAGGCTGACCTCAAACTCACAACAATCCTCTTGCCTCAGCCTCTCAAGTGCTGGAATTATAGACATGCCACCACACCCGGCAATGACTTATTTTCAGAATACTTTTGTTTTCTTTCTTTTTTTTGTATTGATTTTTTTTTACATCAGAGGATAAGTACATTATAGAAAATATAGAAAAGCATAAAACTGGCCAATGACCCTACCAATCAAAAAAGAACAATGTTAATAATTTGATGTTTATTCCTATTACTTTATACCAATAAACTCTGCAGCTTCTTTCTTTTTTTAAAGAAAATTAACAATACATCATGATATGTTCCTTTCCTCATTTAATTACATTTATTTCTCCACATTCTTCAAAACAGATACAAATTAGTCCTTAAAACGCTTTTCAATGCCTACATGAAATACTATACCTGTACCAGAATTTACTCAACTGCCTATTATTTGAAATTTCTTTAGGCTATTTCATTTTTCTCCTTTACCCAGAATGCTATAGTGAACATACTGTACTTAAAACACACCTTTTTGTATATACTTCTGATACTTTGTGGGAATAAATTCCTAAAAATGGGATTATACAGTGAAGCAGTATTTAAAAAATTAGGGTTTTGTTACATTCTGCCCAAATGTTCTTCAGAAATGCAACACCAAAGCTAGGTGCAGTGGCACACGCTTGTAATCTCTGCTGCTTGGGAGGCAGAAGACAGGAGGACTGGGAGTACAGGGCCAGCCTGGACAGCACACACACACCCTGTCTCAGGAACGAAAACAAGAGAACCGACCGGTTTACATTTCCACCTCCCATTTTGTTACCAGTGTAAGGGGGCCAGTAGAAAAAGGGGAACAACATCTCTTTGGGGCCTCCATTTGCATTTATTGATGATGATAAGTAGAAATTTTAAATTTTTATAGAGCTTTTAAAAAATGAATTGTCTAGTTGTATTGTTTCCTTACTTTCCTGTACTCATGCTTTCCTTATTATTTTGTAAAAACCTACAATATAGTTTTTAATTCAATTAGCACTTGTGTGTAATACAAAAAATCTTTTCATCTAATAAGAAGTCTATAGCAGGGGAAAAAAAAAGCAGCTAAGGCAAGTTAGATTACTTGGACAAATATGGACCTGAGAAAAATTTCCAGTATCTCCCAAGGCCAGTCAAGCATCCTTCTTCAAGTTAGTTCAGCTTCTCCCAGTGTACTCAGGCCAGTATCATCCTATCTGATCTCTTAAAGAGGGAAGGCTGTTTGTGGGTTTGCCAGAGGGATAGAGGCCTATACTTGTGCAAGCCCTTCATCTGGCTCAGCATTCTTACCTCTCTGATATCTGTACTGTGCATATTTGAGGACTTTTTCTTTTTGAGACAGGGTCTCACTAACCTTGAACTCACTATGGAGCCCTGGCTGGCCTCAAACTCACAGTGATACAACAACTTCTTTCAATATGTTACTCTGAAGTTTTTTTAAACTATAGTTTTCTACACATTATATTTTCATTGTCTTAAATATCTGTCATTTTCTCTTGAATCTTTTTTAGCATTTGTTTTACTTTTTAAAATGTCCTTTTAACCTTCTGTTTCTCTAAAGGAAAAACCTATAGTGTTTACTCATTCCTGTGCTCCTTGTAGTTTATTCTTCACTTCCAAAAGGCTTGCCTGAGCACTGTCACTTACTTCTGAGTTTTCTAATTCTCATTTATGTTTCAGGTCATTTATTCATATATATATTCACATTATATGTTTCATGTCATTTATTTATACATATATACATTATATTTATACACACATTTATATATACATATATACTTTTTTTTCAGTATTGAGAATTGAACCCAGGCCCCCGACATTGAGCTACCATTCTCCAGCCCTACTTATTTTCCGATAGGGTCTTCCTAAATAACTAAGCTGCCCAGTTCGGACTTGAACTTGCAATCCTCCTGCCTTAGAGTCCCTGAGTGCTGGGATTACAGGCATGTGTCAACATATCCAGCTTTATTTTGTTAATGTTGTGTCGAAATATGTGGTTATAGTTTTGCTCTATTGAGCAAGAGATAGCTGCACTGAACAGAGCTCTTACAGTACAGAGGGATGTTATTCTGTTTTGTTCTCTTCATTCTTCTAATAGTTTTCATAGGATTTGACCTTGATACTCTTCTTTTGCCATTTTTATATTTTTTTTTACTACAGTTTTAGAATTCTAACTTCATAGAAAATCTTCCTCTGCTGTTTTTATACAGAGGTCCAAAATATGGTGGCTCCCTCCTACATTTCCTGCTTCTGTCCCTACTTTTATCTGCACCTCTCTTTCCTTCACCTCAATTTTTATGCCACTGCCATCAGGTCCTTCTCAGTGTGGGTCCCTACTCTAGAGAGGCACCCTTCCAGGTGAATCAGTTTCAGCTGTTCACAGTAGCAAGCCTGCACTAGGTCTGGTTTGGTTTGGTTGTGCTGGGGACTGAATCCAGGGCTTTGCCCTGAGCTAAAGTCCCAGCCCTTTTAACTTTTTAAAATTTTGAGCCAAGTTCTCCCCAAGTTGCTAAGCTTCACAGGCTAGGCTCAAATTTGCCATCCTCCTGTCTCAGTCTCCCAGAGTACATGGGATTACAGATGTGCGCCAACATGCTTGACTGTTCCCGCTCTTCTGGTCCTTATCATCAACCTCTTGTACTTATCCTCAGCAAGAGCAAGCAACATCCTTTCCCTTGTTAGTCTCCCTGCCATACTTTCCATGAAGACATGTTGGCTATTGTAGAATCCTCCCACTCAGATTCAGACACTCCATTTCTCCCGTTTTCTCCCATACACATGCTGATACCATGCAAGCCTTGCGGCTGTTAGTGGCTTGTCCATATTTGCTTGTATTTGAGCATACGGGTATCTTCCAATTGGCTTTATTGTAAATATTACCCATAGGGGTTTTTCTTTTTATATCTAAATGGTCTGTATTTATATTGAGATTTGAAGAGATTCAAGAAACATGCTGCAGCCATCTTTCCCACAGGGTTTCCAATAAAAATTTCCTTTCTGTATTGCTATTTGATTTTTTAGTTGTAAATGCCTACAGAAAGCTGTACAGCTCATTTTTAAAGTGGAAATGCCTCTATAGCTCCTCCTTAAAGTAAAACTAAGTGATGGTGATGGCTGTTGTTTTAAAAAAGCAAGTTAGTTCATTGAGTTAGGTCTGAGGTTTCTTTTTCTCCACACCCATTAACTCAACCACTTTAAACTAGGTCAGAAGCACACTAATGATGAAATGCACCACAAGAAATGAAAAAGTATCACCTACTAGAAATATGGCCACAGGTTTCTGTTACTGGTGAGTAACACATGTAACCCACAGCAAAACTGCCAAAAGTTACATGTAAGATATAAAACAGGGGTCAGCAAATCGTTTCTGTAAGAGCAAAGAGTAAATATTTCAAGGCTTATGGGATGTGGTATAAAATACGTTTGTGCTTTGTCCCTGATTCTTACCAGAGTCCCCAAATCTCTTGTAATTTCCTGGGAGCAAAGATGATAGGGCCTTGCACAAAGTTCTTAAAATCCTCAGAATTTCTTAAGTAATAACCCTTGTGTGTATGTGTGTGTGTGTGTTTCAAAAAAACTCTTTCGATCATACCTCAGTTGATGTTGCTAAGTAAATTTTATACAAAGCCACTGGTTTGGACTGAGATTCTCACTAGGCCAAACAGACCAAACCAAAATAGAGTCACTCATGCTAAAGTTCCATATCACCAAGACAAAACTGAGTTGTTTATCTGACCTTCCTAAAAAATCATGAGAGACAAGAAATCTCCAAACAGACCAGTTTCTCCCAGGGTGATAAGGAAGTTCCCTCTTTTATAAGGAAATGAACTTTGAAATAACTAATCCACCTTTTGTTGTTTCTGTTTTCTTCAGCCTTTTCCCACCTATAAAGCAAACCTCCTACTCATCAGAACATTCCATTTTATAGAATGAGGCAGTGCCCAATTCCAGAATGGCAAATAAAAGCTAGTTAAGGAAGGTCTTAAAACCAAATCTGTTGTAATGTTGTCTTTTTTTTAAAAAAAAAGCTTTTCAATTTTTTAAGTTTTATGTATAAAGAGTTAGCATGGTCCCTTTCATTGAGTGGATATCCTGGGTAATCCACCAAAAGAAGATCACTTAGTCCAAACTGATGACAGAAACACTGGCAGCCCATGTTCAGGCCATATTTCTGAATCAGACCATGTAGGTTTGAGCAGATACGGCAAGAGGAAGAACCCTTGCCAAACTTCCTTGCGTGGTCTCAGTAGAGCTGCTATGACCCATGATACTTCCAGAGGTATAAGGAGGCAAAAGTTTTTTTTCTGAGACAGGGTCTTGCTTTGTATTTCCAACTGGCCTTGAACTTACTCTATAACCCAGGCTGTCTGGAACTCCTACTTCAGCCAACCAGAGGGCTGGGATTACAGGCGTGCACCACCACATTTGGCACTGTAATTTTGTTTTTTGACAACACTATTGAGGTGACTCAGGGTGTGGCCCCAAAACAGATGAAGTAGTCACTAAAAAGAGCAAGTGATTAGAGGATTAGCGGGATCATAACTTTCAGCTTCATTTACCCACCTCCAGGAAAGGGGGTAGTGGGTACCGAAGATCAAGCTCTATAAAAACTCTTATACAACAAGATTTGATGAGTTTCTGGGTTACTGAACATGGAATGGTGGGAGGGTGGTGTACCCAGACAGGACATGGAAGCTCTGTGCCACCTGCACCCCTAAACCTTGCCCTATGCATCTCTTCATCTGGCTGTTCATCTGTATCTTTATGATAGAATAAAGAATATACCTTTAGAATAAACTAGCAAATTTAAGAAAATTTTGTTCCCCTGAGTTCTATGAGAGAGTCTAACAAATTAATTGAACTCAAGGAGAGGGTATCATGGGAACTCTGGTTTGTAGCTGATCAGTAAAAAGTACTTGCTTCTGAAGTGGGGACACTCTTACGGAACCAAGCCCTTGGTCTAGGGGATCTGATAGTACTTCCAAGTAGGTAACCAGTGTGAATTGAATCACAGAGTAGAGCTGGTGTCAGCTGTAGATTCTTCAGTATATGGAGAGAATCTAAACACATAATGAAGGTCAGCAAAGTGTGTTGTCAGTGAGTGTAAAATACATGGGGGGTGCTGTTTTTTCCTCTTATGGAGGACAGAATAAAAGCTTTGCTATCAGTCAGGTCAGGGTTAAAATTTCAATTCTGTTATTTACTATGTTAACCTTCATCAAGTCGCTAAGCTTCCAAAATCTGGTCACGTCACCTACTTCACAGAATTGCTGTGAGAATGAAGCTATGTAAAGCACTTGAATCTAGACATATAACAGGTATTTTAGAAATATTTCTAAGTATTTCTCTCTCTCCTTTCATTCAGCAGATGTTCATTCAATAAATGTTTCCTGTCCCCTGCATGATAAAAGGTGTAGGACTTACTACAATACTTGTCACTGTCTAACTGGGTAAATTCGGCACATAGCGAACTCATCTAAGTGAAAATTCTTTCTTTTTATCAAAACACTGAACAGTGCCTACAAATAGTGCCGTGGGCAGAGTCTTGAAGACTGATGGCCACAAGGGGAGAGGAGCTTCCCTGGAGCAGTCTCTAACAATTCCCAACTAAGAGTACTGTAGCTGCTGAAACTCAGGATCCCAAAGTTCAGAGCCATCAACCACTAGTGGTGAGCTTAGCCAGACTGAAGAAGGGTGCATAACCGGGTCAGTCACTTTTGGAAGGCTGCTCATCATTCCAACCAACCTGTGAAGGCACAATCCTAATGCCTAACTTACCTGTTGCTGTTGTTCCCTGGCCCTTCTTAGGCTGTTTTGGGGCTGTGTACTGGAAGAATTCATTTCCATGGCCAGCAGCTGCCTGATCCAGTCCAAAAAGAGAGGCCAATCTGGCACTGTTAGTAAAAAGTAAAAATAAAGTTTCATTTTCCATCTCCCAAACCTGGAATCATTATAAAACTTGCTCATCTTCAACCTTGACTAAATACCTCCTTGATTGTATATCCTACTACTTAATATTGGAAGTACCAGCTAATGTTCTCTGAAATCCAGACTGTTTTTGTGATTTGAAATAACTCAGTTGATCCTATCCATCTACAGAACCACAGTCGAGATTTTTTTTTTTTCTGTATCTCAGTTTCTCCACCTGTAAAGTGAAATGATTAGTTCAGATGCTCTCTACGGTTTACTCAAACTATAAACTCTTGTTTTTGGCAAATCATAAGTCTCCTGTCACCCCTAATGATTACTCCCTCTCCTGCTTAATCTACTAGATTGCAATGCTACTGTATTACAAATTTACCCATCAAACATGATCCCTTCTACCATTTTATCTAACATGCAGAACCTTCTTCTATCATCTCTTTTAAAGAACCATATGCCTCCAAATTATAGTAAAACTGGGGTGTGGATATGGCACAGTGGGAGAGCACTTGCCTAGAATGCACAAGGCTCTGGAGTCTGTGCCCAGAACTACAAAAGAAAAGCAAAGATAGCCAGGTGTGATAGTGCACACCTGTAATCCCAGCTACTTTGGGGGCTGAAGCAGAATCTCAAATTCAAGACCAGCATTGGCAAAACAGCAAGACCCAGTATCAAAACCAAAAATATATTCTACTAAAACTGGTCTTGCTTAGTAACAGACAACGTCTTTGTTACTAAGCCCAGTTTACCAGTCATTTTTTATTTGATCTCATGCTACCCTTGTATACCATCAACTAATTTACTCGTCTTCAAACAAACTCTTCCTTTGACTTCTTTGGGGATGTACCTCTTCCCACAGGTCCAAATAAGACATTTTACAAAACTAATCGGATTCCTCTCTTGTTTTCTTCCCATCTCTCTGGCTTCTCATTTAACTCCTTCGGGTCTTCTTTATATGTCCAATCTTTAAATATCCATGTCCTCAAGGTTTCACACTCAGTTGGCAATTTCATTTATTTATTTTGGTATCAAATACTATCCAAATGGTGACATATTAAAATCTACATCCTCAGCCCAGAAGTTGGTCCTACGTACTAGACAACACATATATACCACATGTCCAAACCAAAACATATCTCCAACAATGCACTGTAACACCCTGTGTGAAGTATGATCTATCAAGGAAGCTCATTAGAGATGCAGTGACTGAGGGTTTTAGTGAGAGCAGGTCACACAGAAGACACCTTTTGCCAAGCATGTACCAAAATTCTAGATTGCAAGACTAAGGAAGTGTTCATTTTAAACTATATTAGGCACAATCTGCCATTTAAGGAGAGCTTTGTATCAATGTGGGGAGGTGTTTACCAATAAATTCCCAGATGCCAGTCAAATGCCCATTTTGTAAGCAGGATTTTCTAAGGATGAAAGTCTCAAGCCTGGTATGTTAACTTTACCTGCAAATATCTCCAACCAAGGCTGAAATTGGAGTGCCCTTGACTTCACCCCTCCTTCATTTGATAGTCATGCCCTACTTCCAAGTCCATTTGATTTCATTTTCTAAATATTTTGCAAATCCATTTATTGCTCCCTATTCTCATTACTATTTTCCTAGTTCAGGCACCATCACATACAACTAACTTCAATTATCACAAAACACCTCTGGATCCATCTCACTACCTTGTTCTTCCCTGCTTCTTATCCATTTTCCCCAGGGTACCCACAGCAATCCTTCTAAAAACCATATTTGACCAACTTGCTCACCTCTTTAAAACACTCAATGATACCTCAATACTACCCAGATAAAAACTGAAATTGCACAATACAGCTTTACAAGGCCTTTTCAGATTCCTCTTTGTTTCCTCACCTTCATACGTGGCCATTTCTACTCTCCAACTGTGTGCAACAGCCACCCTAAGGAACTTTTCTCATATAAAGCAAGATTTTTTTTCTCAGCCTTGGATGTGCTATTCCCTCTGCCTGTGACATTCCTGTTCCTCCCCTTCCTGGGAGTCTACTTTTGATCTAAATTAGGCACTCCCACGGTTCTCGATATTTCATTCTAGAAATGTGTATCATGCACTATGCTAAGTGCTGGGTACACATTGATGGCAAAATTATATTCTACTTTCAAGCTTACAGTCTAATGAGGAAATCAGATATTAATATATAATTGTAAATTGTAACATGAGATATAAAACAGCATGGTGCTTAAGACAACTGTGCTAACTCAATTGGCTTCAGAGCTGCAGAAGAGATTATTAAAGCACTCTTCTGAGTGTATCTAGGTGGGTCATGGAGGCATGACATTGGCTAATATATCTGGTTCCTAGCCCCTTCCTCTCTGGCATTGTTCCCCTGCTTTGATTTCTGGCTGCCACATCCTTCCACAGTGATTTTTCTATCTTGAAGCCAGCTTACCAGGGACTGAATCCTCTGAAACTGTGTTCAAATTAAACCTTGCTGCCTTTAAATTGTGAATGTTGGGCACTGTGTTTCAGTGACAAGAAAGCAGACTATTACACAAAGGAAGCTTCTGTACAGGAATTAATAGGAGCTATTTAATCAATCATCTTGTAACATGATAATTGATTATTTGTTATAATCACCAAATAACTGCACATTTTGCCCAGAGTTTAGTATAAAATATGCTTAATAAATGCTATGGGGGCTGGGGATTTAGCTCAGCGGCAAAAGCACCTGCCTCGCAAGCGCAAGGTCGTGAGTTCGGTTCCCGGTACCGGAGAAAAACCAAAAATGCAGTTTAAGATATACCAAAATTAAAAAAAAAAAAAAAAAAAAATGCTATGGTTTGAATATGCTCCCCTAAAAGTGTGTGTTGGAATTTTAACCCCCAACACAACACTTGGTATATGGGACCTAAGGCAAGGTATTTTAGGTCATAAGGAATCTGCTCCATTCTTATAAACTGATCAAAACTGAATTATTATAAAAAAGAGCTCAAGGCTGTAAGTCTGCAGGAAGAAGGCTCTCACAGATACTGACACCATGATATTGGAGGACTTCCCACCATCCAAAAGGGTGAGAAACACATTTCTTTTATTTATATATTACCCATCTGTGATATTTTGTTATAGCAACACAAAATGGATTAAAGGATAAAGGAACTCAAAGTCTAGTCTAACTCATCTCCTCCTCTCCAAAAGTATTCTTAACCTAGGTGATGTAAACACTGCACCTTCCCAACAACTCTTTTTGGCTTTTTAAAAATAATTTTAATGTATACATAAATACATACTAGCATTTTACAAAACAAACTGTGATTTGAAAATATTACCTTGTTTCCCAGAGAATCTACTGTAAGTTTCCTGTAAATGGGGTCCAGAATGGTTAATTTATAGACTAACAGGTTTAAGTGAGATCGCAAGTATACTATTTGAGAAAAAGTAGATATCAACAAATGCTAAAGAATTTACAAGAAACCAAGATTTCTCCTTTTAGTCAGGGCAATCTGGACAGATTTTCTAAAGCAGTAAGATGCTGGGAGAGCTGGGCAGTGCCTTGAATATAATAAAAATGCACAACATTTAGAATCTACTTAAAATATAATTAGTAGGGGGATAGATCTTTCTCAAGTGGGAAGGGGATCAAAGACGGAGGTGAGATGAAGAGGAGAGAAAAGAGATGAAGAAAGAATTAAGATGTGTTGTACATGTACCAATTACCAAGAGGAATATGATCATTATGTACTGCAAACAGATACCAATAAAAAATGAAAATTGAAAAAAATATATAATTGCTTATGTGCAAATAATTGATATAAAAAAGAATGTTCAGTAAACTATGGGTACTGGGTTTGTTATTTTAATGTTGCAAGGATGTTCTTTTGAGATTGAAGAGGATATCAGAAAATGGAAAGATATCCCTTGCTTAAGGGTAGGAACAACCAACACAGTGAAAATGGCCATATTCCCAAAATTATTATACATTTTAATGCAACTACAATCAAAATGCCATTAGCATACCTCACAGAACTAAAGAAAACAATCCTTAAATTCATTTGGAAGCAGAAGACAGCTAGAATAGCAAAAACAATTCTTTTTTTTTGGTACCGGGAATCAAACTCAGGACCCTGTGCTTGCCAGGCAGGCACTATGCTGCTGAGCTATATTCCCAGCTCACAAAAACAATTCTTGACAACAAAGGCAAGGTAGGGGGCATCACAATCCCTGACTTAAAATTACACTACAAAGCTATTGTGATAAAAACATCATGGTACTGGAAAAAAAAAAACAGACCCAAAGATCAATGGAATGCATTAAAAGATGCAGAAACAATTCCAAAAACACTCAGCCACCCTATCTTTGACAAAGGAACCAAACGCCTTCGCTGGAAGAAAGATAAGTCTCTTTAATAAATGATGTTGGAAAAATTGGTTTTTTGCATGCCAAAGGCTAAAACTAGACTCATGTCCCTCACCATGTACTAACTAAAATTGAAATGGATCAAAGATTTAAATATTAAAACAGAAACACTAAATCATCTACAAGAGAGAATAGGCAGAACTCTTGAAGACGTGTGTAGGCAAAGATTTCATGAGCAAAATCCCAATTGCACAGGAAATACTACAAAGAATCAACAACTGGGATCTCATCCTATTGCTGTGCAAAAGAAATCACCAACAGAGTAAGGAGACAACCCACAGAGTGGGAAAAATCTTACCTAGTTGTCACTCAGACAAAATATCTAGAACATATAAAAAATTGAAAAAAATGCAATGCCCCAAATTTAAAGACCTAATCCAAAAACAGCCATCTGAGATGAACACACACTTCTCTGATGAAGAAATATGAACAGTAAATAAATATATGAAAAAATGTCCAGCATCACTGGTCATTCAAGAGATGCAAATTAAAACAACACTGAGACTCCATCTCACTCCAGAAAGAATGTCTATGATCAATAAATCAATTGACAACAAATGCTGGAGGGGCTATGGGGAAATAGGAAGCCTTCTCTTTTGTTTGTGGGAGTGCAGACTGGTGTAGCCACTGCAGAAATCAGCATGGAAATTCCTTTAAAAAGCTAGGATTAGAGGTCCCATTTGACCCAGATATTCCTCTTCTGGGTATCTTCCCAGAAGAATTAAAAGCATCATACCACAGAGATATATGAGCACCCACGTTTATAGCAGCACAGTTTGTCACAGCTAAATCTTGGAAACAACCCAAATGTCCATCAATCAAGGAATCAATAAAAAGATATGTTTTTTTTCTACAATGGAGTACTATCTAGCCATAAAGAAGGGTAAACTTTGAGACATTTCTATGTAACTGGATGCATCCTGAGACCACTCATTTAAGTGAAATAAATCAAACACACGTGTAAATACCACACTGTACCCCTGGTGTGAGAAACTGAAAGAGTAAACAAGGTCCAAAATATATAACAGATATTGTGAAATAGGAAGAAATCATTCAAAAGGAAAGAGAAACTAGGGAGGGGGTTGTGGCAAAGGAAGGAAGGGAAAAAAAATGATAAAGGATAAAATGGAAACAGCTTTGTAAATAAGGAGGGGAAAAGGGGAGATGATTGGGGAAAAAGGAGGAATCAAGACATACCATACATAGGTACAAATTCCCTATGATAAATCTAAATTGTACCAATAAACTTAATTTTTTAAAAAAGTATGTTCTTTTTCAAAGTAAAGTCTGAAGTGTCACTGATAAACTGTGTCCATAGATGTCCGAAAAGCCAGTCGATTAATCACAGTAAAATCAGTCCAAAGGCTGGCCAATCTAATTATCTTTCAGATTAATTCCATTTCTTATTCAGATTTAAAAATGAATGCCATACATTCTTTGTAGTACAATTTTTTTGTAAATTACTGTGTTTTTCCACTTCTAAGGAGCTCTCAAATGCACGTAATCTTCCTATTTTGGCAAGAATGGGCTTGCTAACTCTAGATTTGAACATCTATGTTAATAATTTATGGGAAGCCAGGTGTGGGGACCCTTGCCTGTAATCCCAGCACCTGGGATGTTGAGGCAGGAGGATCATGTTGAGTTCAAGGCCAACCTGGTCTACATACTGAGTTTGAGGCCAGCCTGGGCTACACAGTGAGTTCAAGGCCACCCTGAACTACACAGCAAGACTGTCTTAAAACAAGCAAAAATAAGAACAAAAAAAAACAATTCATGGGGAAAGTCATTATGGCATTAGTTATATTTTTTAAAATAAATGTTACTTAATAAATTTGCCAAGGTCTTTACCTCACCTCACTTTAGTATGTCTTTTCTCATCAGGAACAAAAACATGCATTTATGCTGTATTGATATATATTTAATAACTGCATCTTTTTGTTGGTAAAGAACTTCTTTTATGAACCATGGCATCAACATCTACTTATCTAATGATGATAATGTCAAATGGACAGTTTTGTTGGAATCTGCCTGCCTAACTTTAACACCAGGCTCTCTCTGTTGCTTTCTAGCTGTGCAACTTGAGCAACTTACCTCTCTGAGCTGTTCCCATTTCTAAAATGGGTATAAAAATTAAAACTACTACCTCATACAGAAGGAGTAAATATGATCACATATATATATATTCATTCTTCAGTACAGTGCCTATTAATAAATATACACTATTTTATATACTTTGTAAACATATTCTATTATTCAAATCCCTACCCACCACAGATACTTCTGTAAGGGAGAAAGGATCCTTGATCAGCGCACAAACTCACCTGAAATTACAAACTGATATAAACACAAAACTACTGAACTGGGAAAGATTTCAAAGATCACCAAAGGCAAATCTCATTATTTAAGATATTAGGCTATGGAGGGATAGGAATGGGAAGTGACTTGTCCAAAGTCACACTCCTAACAGGGGGAAAAATCAACAAAAGAATGTGGACTTTTCTGTATCTTGTATAGAATATACAATGCCTTTTGCTGATCAGTTCTGGGGTTATCTTTTCTCCACCTTTATAGTTTATCATCACTGTGCTAACCAGATTTCCCTACACACACCGCTTATAAAATCTAAAACAAATATATACATAACTGATCCCTTCAAAATGTTTTGTAAAGCCGGGCATGGTGGTGCATGCCCGTAATCCCAGCACTCAGGAGGCTGAGGCAGGAAGATTGTTGCCAGTTCCAGACCATCCTGGGCTACAAAGTGAGCTCAAGGCCGGCCTGAACTGCATAGCAAGACCCTGTCTCAAAAAGAAAAAAAAGTTTTGTAAAATGCTGGGCATGGTGACATGCTAAATTTTCAAAAGGCCTAATACACTAGTAGTGGTGGTACACACTGGTAGTCCTAACTACTTAGGAGAATGAGGCTGGAGGATCACTTGAATCCAGGGATTAGGCCAATACAGTGAGCCCTGGTCTGAAAACAAAACAAAACAAAACCTGATTATTATTAGCTGAAGCCAAATGCACTAAGTAGGCATTCACATATTTCTTCATATCATATTATATCATATCATACCCATCCCTATTACAGGTAGGGAAAGGGCTGAGATAAAACAAAAACAAAAATTACTATTTCTAAGTTAACCAGGGACTTCAAGAGACCCAGAAACTTGTAAACTTTGGACAACCAACCTAAGCACTAATACTCCCACTTCTATTAGGCTCAGATACACTAACTAGGATCAAGTAAGTCCTATAGTGAGGAGACATGAAATTCAAGTAAGTATATTCAGAGTGAATTACAGTTATGAAAAAGGAACTGAAAAGCAGCTGCAGTGTCCACGGTCATGTGTTCTACTTCCTTGAAGAAACCAAAGGAGAAACAGCAAAATCAGAGAATGCTGATGAACTTTCCCTATTCTCAAACTTAAATTTGATTCAGTTTTCCTAGTTACTGTTGGGAAAAACATAAATTATCTGTATAACCCTCTTTCTGAAGTCTTTTACCATCAAATTAGCTATTGTCTATGTCTAGGTGGACAGTCACATGACTAGACTTAAAAGTGCTTCAGGATATTGATATGCCTCCTCAGGAAAATAACAGTTAACTCACCCGAGAAGTTATCTTGTATCTGGAATCTGGAAAAGGGTACTTTTCACTGTTTGTTGTCTATACTCTAGTTTCAGTCAGCAGTGGATTGCCTGATGCATGAGTTTAACATTCCTTTACAGACCTTTCTCAAATACTTTCACACAGTAAAGAATATGAATGTAAAGTATACGTTGGAAATTTTCAAATGGCCTAACATACAGCTACACACAAAACAGGTGTGTATGAAAAAACATTTCAAAAGGCTGATGACATAGACAACAGCAGCAGGGAGGCTGGACTATACAGAGACTTTAGTGAATGTTTTGAGTGAAACAGGGAAGAAAGGAGCCAAAGCACAGCTTAACTCTAAATAACTAAGCAATTGAAAAATTCAAAGTGGAACTAAATGGATGCAGGCCATTTAATGTGGGAGTAAGGGTGGAACAAAGTAGTGATAGTGAAAAGATATAAAGTGCGTCATACTGAGCTAGTCAGTGAGAGTCAGAAGATTCTATATAAGACCAAAAGAGAGCCAGGCACTGAGATGCATGCCTACGATCCCAGCATTTGGAAAGCTGAGAGAGTAAGATTAAAGGTTGCAGTCAGTCGGGGATATATAGAGATCCTGTCCAAAGACAAAGGGGGAGAGGGAAGAAAAGGAATGGGGGAAGGGAAGTGGGGAGGGAGGGAAAGAGAGAAGGAGAATGAATGAGAATAAATGAATCATTTTACAGTCATTTATGTGTTGAACTCTCCAATAGGTCTGGAAACAGCCTGAGGGCAGGCACCACAGCTTACACATCTTTGTAACCTCTTTACATGTACAACGAAGAGCGTATGACGATGTATTCACCATTTATCAGTGCATTCTTCACTATGCACAAAATTTGTTAGGCTCAAACTTTCAAAGAAAGGTTCTGCAAAGATCAGAATACGGCAGCTAAAAAGTTTGAAGTCAAGGTATCCACAGACACAACTAAGTGAAAACGCTAATTACTGAAAGAGATGAAGCTTTGCTTGTCTTTGAAGACTTCTATCTCAGAAACGTTTAAGGCCAAGGGATAATGACTGCAGTCTTTCACATTGGTTTTAAGCTTTCGGACTTACAAAGTACAATGTCACAGCTATCATTCATTCAACAGGTACTTTCTGAGCACTCAGTATGTGCCAGGTACCATGCTGAGTGTTAAACAGAAACGAACACCATAAGCAGTTCCTTCCTGTCAGGGCTTATAATCTAGTAGATTCAGTATGCAAAGATAGTCGTGGGAATAAGGAAGAGAGAACAATTTATTCTGCTTGGGGCTGTGGGAGAAGGGAAAGCACCATAAAAGATGACATCCGAGCTAGGTTTTGAATGATACGGAAGCTGACCCACCAGGTACTGGTTCTAAAGTGTCACCGTTTTGTCAACAGAGAAAAGAAAGTCTCACACTGGCCTCAGATGACTCCCACAAATACTGAAGCAGGCAGTCTCATCAGCAATCTACCCCACTTTACTGGGGAAACTGTGACTCAGAAAGCAAAGGGCGGAAAGCCTGGGTCACATGAGGGTCACGGGAGATGCTGGGCCCCGGACCCGGGTCCACAGACTCAGCACAGTCGCGAACTCTACCCAGCTGAGGAAGTCTAAGCACCGCAATGTGGCAAGCACCTGGACGCGGAAGTTGAGGTGAGGCCCGAGATGTACCCACTACAACCATCCTCCGGTCTCAGCCATGCCCTCTGGCCCACGCTTCTCAGTCACTCACCCGCCGCTGGGCGAGAGGAAGTCGGTGTCATCTTCGTCCCCGGCACCGAACATAGCGTTGGCTTTTTCCCGGGGCGCAGAGGAGGCCGGATGTTCCCAGGGCCTGTCACTGCAGACGTCGTAAAACGCCGCGGCGGCGTGCTGCTTTCCGGCAGGGCAGCCTCTCTCCCACTAGCTCCGTGGAGTGCAGACTGGACTCTGGAGAAGGTGGAGCGAAGGCAAATGAGAGGTCGAGCGTCTCGTGGCGTAAGGCCTCTCCAACCCGAAGAGGGGGCGGATTTCCAAGCATCTGTGCGTGGATTGGTCGGAGAGTCTAGGGGGCGGGGCGGGGGCGGGAACCCGCGGCCTCTGTGGCAGTGGTGGACACGTCGAGCCGGACAGAAGTGACTGGGGGCTTCTGAGAAGTCCTGAGAAGGTGACGGATTCAGGTTCTGAGAGGGAGGAGTCTGTGACTGCACTGGTCCTCGGAAGGTAAGGCCTCCCCGCCCCCTCTCACAACTCGGGCATGGAACCGACCTTTCCCCTCCGGGACAAGGACCCTACGCCGCCTCTCTTGCAGGGCGGAAGGAGAAAGAACCCGGGACTGGCAGTCTGGAGACCTGAGCCTTGGCCCGTCCCCTACAGCGACATAGTTGGGTGACCTTAGGCAGGCTGATGGACACCTCAGCTTCCCCGTGTGTGCAACGGCCGCTGTGCTGGTTGCCTCCAGGTGCCGGCTTGTTCGAGAAGCTTTTAAACCTCAGAGATCACTGAATCCAATCTCAGTGTCCTAATCCCAGAATTTGCAGATAAGGAATCGAAGGGACTAAGCACGTAGGTGACAGAATAAAGGGCAGGCTGGGGATAGATTCCTGGTCCTTTGATGCTGGATTTAGCTAACTGGTGAGTGAACGTAAACCTTGCCAGCTCTGAACACCGTGTTTTTGTAGAGTGGTTATTGCTAGACTGTGACGAACAGCTTGAGGAAAGACCCCTTTCTGGAGTCCACGCAGGTGAGATGCCAAAGTATCCTGGAGGTGAGTGATAGAAAGGAGGAAATTTTGGAGGTAGAAAGTCCCCAGTGTAGCTTGAGCCTGGTTTTTGCTGAGTTTTGCTGCCCAGGTCCTAAGTCAACATCAATGGTGATCGACTTCCTTGCCTCCAGTTTCCACCGTCTTTATATTTTACCTAAGTATCTCTTTCCTTAACCCGGTGTTATTCGTGGGACAATCTTGTATGAGGTCTCGCTTAGCCAAGCTGCAGATAAGCAGATAGTGTCCTAGTGTAGCGTCCATTTCCACAAATCTCACTGGAGGACTTTCACCCGGGGGTTCCTTTCTCAGTCAGGTTGGTAATACAGGTGTCTCTTACCTGAATGCTTTAATCCATCGGCACGATACTGAAGTGACTGGTAGCTTCCTCCTTGGGGACCCTGGACCTCTTGGCACTTACCCTGTTGAGGTTTTTATTATAGTTTGTTTTCTACTAAATTGTAAGCCTTCTGACCCATAATGAGTTCTCATAAATTCTTTATTAGATTGAATAATAGAATTTATTCTTGTTCCCTTATTCCTTAATTAACTCTCCTAGATTTTTTTCCCGTGTGACCCAGAGAGCCCTGCAATGGCTCTTGCCTTTTATAGGTAGTTTCCAGAAAGATAAAAATGCTGTACTGGCTGTGAACTATCTGGGTAGCATAGTCTCTTTTGTTAATTGAAGGTGATTGTGCTATTGTCTAAAATTCTAGGGGAGGGAATAGAGAGGAATAGGATAGCTAGAAATATTATATGTAACAATAATTGTTATGATTAAATTGTTTCTCTGTTTAACTAAGAATAGGCCTGTTGGTCTGCTTCTTGTTTATTTTACAGATTAAGATGGTTAAAGCAGTAAAAGTTGACAGTGTTAAAACAATAATGCACTAGAACTAGAACCTGTTGCTGTAGCTTTGTTAGAATGTGAACTTCACTACCTCTCAGTGGGGAACAAAATAAACTGGATACATAACCTTCCTAATCCTTCTTCCCAGTAATCCCGGCACTTAGGAGGCTGAGTGACTCTAGCACAGAAACATTTTCATGGTGCTTTTTAAAAATGCCAAGGAAATATTTGAGCTCTTATCTTACATTCTTGAGTAGGGAGATTTTTCGTGGTGTTTAAGTAGGCTACTTTACATAGTCAGAAATCCTAAAATTGGCCTTTTTGGTGATTGAAACCACAGATATGCATATCCAGAGTGCTGTTGTGGGAGCTGGGGATTTAGCTGAGCAGCACAGCACCTGCCTGGCAAACACTAGGTCGTGAGTTCGATTCCCGGTACTGGAAAAAAAAAAAAATAAGACAGAGTACTGTTGTGGGGACATAGCTGCTGAGTCTCATTGACAGTACCAGGAAGAGAACAATGGTGGGGAGTCTTCCTCAGTCTTTCAGGTTTGGAACTGCCGGTTTGGTGCACCTGAAAAGCCACTGCCTTCCTGAATTAGAGTATTTCCAGACTGGTAATATTGGACTAGGAATCAGGAAACCTAAATTCCTCCTCCACCCCTTCTAATTCACTCTGAGTTTAGGCCACACTCCCTAAACACTCAGTAAAACAAGTGGGTTAGACCTCAACATATTTGGGTATTGCTAGGGATACAAAGGTAAGTAAGGCACAACTCTCATCAAAAATTTGAATCAAGTATTTTTACTGATTTGTTTTACTCAATAAAATGTATTGATCCCCTGAAGATTGACTGGGAAACAGCAATTTTAATAATTCCTTTCAAATTATCAGTAATTTTGCAACAGGGATGACTGGGGAGGGTTTTTTTTCTTGGTTTTTGGTTTTGGGGGGTTTTGTGGAATGGGGGTTAAGATAGGCTCTGTGTAGCTCAGGCTGGCCTTGAATTCACCATGTAGCCCAAGCTGACCTCAGACTCACCATGATCCTCCTGCCTCAGCCTCCCAAGTGCTGGGATTACAGGCATGTACCACTATAGCCAGCTCAAGGATGAATTTTATACACAGGTATACCCACACTAATCTCAACTGCTTTTTAAAATTGATAAAGTTATAGATCAGGTTATATCATAAATGTGATATAGGGTTATAAATTGAATAGTTTGAGGGGATTAGTATAGTGTTCTGTTCACTCATACACTAAAAGCAAAAGAATGCCAATGTTCAAAGCTGGGCATGGGCCAGGCATGGTAGCACATGTTTGTAATCCCAGCACTTGGGAGGCTGAGGCAGGAGGATCATAGTGAATGGTGAGTTCGAGGCCAGCCTGGGCTACATAGTGAGTTCAAGGCCAGCCTAAACTACACATTGAGACCCTGTCTCAGATAAAAATAAACACCTCCCCACACCCCACAAAACAAAGCCAGGAGTGGTGGTACATACCTATAATCCTAGTGGACTGAAGCAGGAGAATTGTCTGGAGTTGAAGGCCAACCTGGGCTACATAGTAATGTAAAGATCAGCCTGAATTACCTAGTGACACCCCATCTCAAAAAATAATAATAACAACAACAACAAAAAGCCAGAGTACAATTCAAGAGCTATGACCTGAAAGCCCATCATGTGTAAGGCACTGTGCTGAGTGTTGCATAGGTTAAGAAAATATCCTCCAAGTCAAATAGAGGGTAATTAGAATACATAAGTAACCATAAAGAAGACATACCAGAGTAAATAGTGTAAGAAGAAATTAATTTTAGGATTTCAAAGGAGGAAGAGATCATATCTAGTCTGAAGGAGATGGTAGGGTTAGATAATGGGCTTTGAAGATGAGTAGGATTTCAAATAGGTCTGAGGAAGTAGGGCTTTCCAGGTTAAAGTGGCAGCTTTGGCAAATACACAAAGGCAGGAAAAGAGGCACAAATTCCTTACAAGACAGGAGCTGCCCTCGTATATTACAAAGTTAGGACAATTAATTGGTTAACCCCCACCCCACAGAAAAAACTTAAAGCAGGGAATCATATAGGTATTATTTACTTGCATATTTTATACTTCTTCTAACTTAAAATATAAAAATTCTTTGCCATTCTTTTAACCTAAGCCCTCAGGCCTTTCTTGGAGTGTGGGTCTCAGGGGTTGTCAAACTACATCCAAATCTTATCTCAGCCTGCTACCTATTTCAAAGTTTTACTGAAACAGCCATGTTCATTTGTTTAATGTTGTCTATGGCTACCTCCTATAAAGCAGAACTGAGTAGTTGCAGCGGAGGCCACATGACCCACAAAGTCTAAAATGTTTACTATTTGGCCCTTTATAGAAAGAGTTGACCAACCCCTGAGCTATATCATATATGGTTCTTTAACAGAGTGGTTAAAGTCACTTGCAAAGCAGTGTGAGTACAGAATCTTTCTAGGTGTTTATAAAATTTCCTCCAGCCTTTATAGTGATTCTCCCACACCTAACAGTAGATTGTGTGTGTCTATGTGATTTGCCTTTATTCATTCCAAAGCATTCAACTTGGTTTTCATAGAAAACAACTACCGTAGAGGCTAACATTGAAGTAGTAGTTAAATTCTTAAGCTCTAGAGTTAAATTGCTTTGCTAGTTGTTATGTTAGCCTTGGGCAAGTTGCTCAGTTTCTTCCTCTGTAAAACAAGGGTAATGATAGTATCATTTCCTAGGGTTCTTATGAAGATTATTAGTTGATTCACATAAAGCACTAAGAACAATGCCCAGCAGGTAGTAAGTACTGAATTAGTGTTAGCTGCTGCTATCATTTTTTCCTATTTATACTTCATTGCTTTACATAATACTAAGTTAAATTATATATTTATAAGAATAACCACAACTGGAATAATTTGCTCTGTGAACAAACACAACTGACGCCCTTGATAAGAACACAGCTTCACTGAGGGAAGAACAGAAGTATCAGTCCTGTGATATTAGAGAATAGTCTAGCAAGTGTGTTGTCAGTTAAGTTGGTTAAGAGAGTAGAAATGCTGCAGGAAGGAAAAGATGGCACAGTTATCACTAGAAAGGTATTTACCATGACCAGATGACTTGACCCAGGAGTATAATAATACACACAGAAAAGTTGTATATTAAAATTGAAAAAAGAAACTCACAATCATATCTATCAGATACTTTTAAGTCCAAGGTGACAAATTTGCACTTAAATCAGTAGGAAATGAAATTTTTCATTCTAAATGACATGATTAATGTAAAAAAAAATCAAATGGTTTAGGAATGTATCAAGTAAAAACTAATAGTTTGCATAGTCCCATTCCATGTGAGAAACCTTTTATTGTTATTTTAGTACTCCCTTAAACAAGGGGTTGTGAGAATTAAATAACATAAAGAGCATTTAGGATACTGTTATAAATCCATGAAAAACTTCAATCCAGCTTCCCTTTGGATTATAATCTCTAATTTGAATTGAGAGAAGGTTCCAGATTGAGTGTGAAGAAAATGAAATGACTGCTCTGAAAGTAACAATTTATACTGTACTTAAAAGAGTCTCTGATCCTTGAGTCAATCCCTCTTTCCTATTCCAA